AGGAGGAGGACGAGAAGCAGAAGTTTGGTGGAGGTGCTTCAGAGGGTCACCGGGTGATGGGTGGTCACCACCAGTCCCCTTCGTCGACGCCGCGTGGCAAGAAGCACAAGACACCCAAGAAAGAAGTCGTCAAGGAGGAGTCGCCGACGCCGCCTCATCCTCCGCCGCCTCATCCTCCGCCGCCCCATCCTCCGCCGCCCGGTATGTACGGTAACTACTACGGCCAGCCGCCCGTTGATCATTGGGGTCGTCCGATGATGATGCCTCCACCGGGTGGTGGGTTCGGTGGTTATGGTGGTTACCCAGGCTTCAGCGGGTATGGCTATCCACCGTACGGCCAGCCCCCATTTCCCGACCAAGGCCGCCAACCATCCCATCCATCCCCCTTCCCGCCTTTCTCTCGCCAACCACCGCCAATGGCCCATCCGCCCGGTGCCCCAAATCCTGCGCGCGCAGGTCGCGACACCCCCACGATCAAGCGAGAGTCGCCCGGCCTTGACGGCGAGCAAGTCGACAACTTCGGCAATCCAGGGGTTTTCGGTAACCAAGGAGCCATGGCCAAAGACGAGGAGAGCGTCAAAGCCGCGGTAGCCGTCGCTGAGGCGGAGCTCAAACTTGCACACCTTCGTGCCATGCAGGCGAGCCTGGCGAGCATGTCGAAGAAGTAGAGTTCGGCGAAGGTACTTTTGGTAACGGTTTTGACTTCCCTTGGGTGAAGAAGTGGGGCTGCATGGTCAGTGAAAACCAGTTACATTCCCTGTTTCAACTGACGACGAGGCTGTGAAGCACTCGAAATGTCACGAATGGTGTTTGATGTATAGCGAGAGAGTTTGCGGTAATCGGCACTAGGCCCTGGGATAATAATGGAATATCAAGGATCTATCTCATGGAACTATCTCATATCAGCCGGTCGCCTAGTAGACCTCAAGTACGTAACGGCCATCATCCTTCAACTTGTCAATCTCCTTGCGTCCATCAATCTTCTTGGCTCCAACATTCTTGACCTTGTGCTCGACTTCGACAGCCTCCTGGAGCACCTCGGTGACATCAGGTACAGGCCATGTCGGCCCACAGAGGTAAAAGCTACCCTCCTTCTCCAGGTACGCCCTACGGATGTCCTTTAGTGACTCTCTCATGCGGTCCTGAATGTAAATCTTCTGAGGCTGGTCACGAGAGAAGGCGCGGCCGAGAAGAGTGATGATACCAGCATCTTGGTAAGCCTCCCATTCCTCGCCATAGAGATACTCTTCACGCTGGTGACGAGCGCCCATGTAAAGCAGGACTTCACCAATTTCGTGACCCTGCTGCTTCTGGTAGGCGCGCTCCTGGACAAAGGCACGGAAAGGCGCGAGACCAGTTCCAAGACCGGCCATGATGATGGGTGCGGTGGTCTTAGGAGGAAGCTTCATGACAGATGGCTTGACAGAAACAGTGACAGGCGCGCCGACCTTGAGGCTGTTGAGGTAGCGAGTTGCCTGACCGAAGCGATCGCGGCCCTTGGGGTCGACCCAGTTGACGGTGACGATGAGCAAAGAAACGGAGTTGGGTGTTACGTGCTGGGCGGAGGCGATGGAGTATTCGCGGCGCTTCATGGGGTTGACGATGCGAACGATGTCGTGGAAGCTGGGGTGGGCAGACGGGAACTCAAGGAGGATGTCGGCGTAGGTGACAGTGTCAACCTCAGCACGGCGCTTGAACTCAGTAGCACCCTCAGCGCTCAGAAGCTGAAGAAGTTCGCGCTTCTCACGCTCGTCATCAGCGAACTCAGCAAGCGATTCGTAGAAGCGCTTTGGCGGGCGACCGAAGATGTCGACGTTCTGCATGAGAGACTGGTAGACGGTACGGTTGACCAGAACGTTGGGGTCGTCACGAGACGGGACCTCAACGATCTCATTGGGGTTGAGACCGTACCACTTGATGAACTCTTCAACTTGTGCCTCGTCGTTCTCTGCGTGGATGCCGAGAGCCTCGCCAATGGCGTAAGTGACACCAGAGTTACCGAGATCGAACTCGATGTGGAAGATGTTACGGTCGTAGTTTTGCGGTGTGAGGCGGCGACGCTCTTTGACATGGACGATACTGGTCTTGAAGCCAAGATCGGGACGAACTTGGTTCGCAGTGCCGAAGGCCTCCTTGAAGGCAAAGCCCTTGGCTGCGACTTGCCAGTCCTTGAGCAGGGTTGGTGGCTCAGCCTCAATGCGGTCGAAAGGAGCAAAGCTGTTGACGTTAATGTCCGAGGGGAGGCGAATGGGCTCGACATCCTCCTCAACAGTGCCCCAAGCAGCAGGGACTTCGACTTCACGGAGAGCGCTTTCGAGCTGCTGAGTGAGCTTGTCGAAGACTTCTGAGCTACCGTTGATAGCAGCAAGCTTGCTCAAACCAGAAGAGAGCAAGTCCTCACGAGCAACCTTCAAGAAGGCGAGCTGGGTGAGGTAAGACTCTAGAGATTCGTCTTCAGCGACAGCCTCAGATGCAGCAGGGTCAAGGACGAAGAGCTGAATGTCCTTGTCCACGAGGGCCTTGCGGAAAGCAGGCGAGAGCTTCTTCTCAATGTCCTCGTTCTTCACACCAGGCAGCTTGACGATGATAGAGCTGTCAGGCTTGACGCTGTTCAGGACGTCAAACTCCTTCAGGATAGCAATGTCGCCAACGAAAGCGACATCGGCTTGCTCAACAGCATAAGGCGCTTCGATGGTGTAGTCGGCATTACGGATGTCGGTGCGAGTAACACCGCCCTGCACGAGATTGTCGTGGCCGCTGCGAACGAAGACGTTCTTGGAAGAGTCACTTGAGAGAAGCTTGCCAACTACAACTGGGGCATTGGCGGCATATGATTCGTCGAGGTTCCAGAAGCTGTACTGCTTGACGTCGGCAGTGTTCAAGATGTCGACGTATGAGCGGACCTCGGCACCCTCCTTCTCGGCGTGGATCTGGCGGAAAGCATCGAGGAAGTTGCTGGGTGTCCAGACCTGCTCGCGCGAGTACTTGACATCGGTGACCTCAACGTCTCTGTCGTAGGCGAACTGGATTGACGCCAAGACGTCCGAGTAGAGCCTAGAGTACTCAGCGGGGTCGAGCACGGCAGCCTCGTCCTTGACCTGACCAAGAACAGCAATGCGACGAGTGCTCTTAGGGAGTACCTCAAGGAAAGCCTCTTCAACGAACGGACGGTAGACGCGGACGTTGACGACACCGACCTTGTCGCCATCCTTGGACAAGGCGTTGGCGACCTGAGCGGTCAAGGAAGCCTCTACAGTACCAAAGACAACAAGTACGCTCTCCGGTTGCTCATGACCGTAGTAGTCAAAGAGCTTGTAGTCTTCGCCAAGCTCGTCGTTGAAAGCCTGGAGCAGGCGCAGAACGCGACCAGCGGTGTCGGAGTGCTTCTTGTCGACCTCCGAGACGGCCTTGAGCACCGCCTCATAGCTGTTGTGCAGCCTAGTCTGGTCGAGAGTATCAACCAGCCTGGCTGTTTCCCTTCCAACGCTAATGCCATCGTATGTGTGGATCGTGGGGAGGACGCTCGAGAGGAGGGTGGCGAAGAGGGACATGTGCTGAGCCTCGAAGACGGACGGGCTGCAGACGAGACCAAGGCCAAGGTCTTCGGCGAGTGTGAGGGAGGAGACATAGTCGGTGACGAGACCAGCGCTGGAGTTGGCGGAGTAATCGACTGCGGCGATGTGGGCGGTCAGAGGGTTCGCGACCGAGTAGAGGGCGGATAGCTGGTCGAGCGAGGCGCGTAGGTAGTTCAGGGTAGAAGAGGAGGCGACGATGGACTGGGGAATATGGCGCTTCTTCAGGTCATAATCTTTGGAGAACATGTATCCCAAGGCGATGGCACCAGCACCGGTCCTCGTCTCAAGGGAAGAGACACCAGTCTGGTAGCCGAAAGCATTCTTCTCGCCCTGTTCTTGCCAGTACTTGACCGCGACATCCAAGTCGAACGACTCAGCCGAGTATGCGAAGATCTTATCCGAGAGGGCGTATGCGACCTGCTGTACGAGAGTTTGGGCCGTGAGGTAGGTGGGGCCGCCGATAGATTGGTAGGAGAGGTCCTGACCAAACGGTAGACTGGACGACTTCTTGGAGAAGTCCTTGGGTACGTTCTGCTCAGCCCCAGGGCCGGCAGACTCAGTCTGTTGGAAATGCATCTTGAATACAAGTATGCGCCTCAGCAACTCAGCCTTTCAGGAAAGGCAGTGAGAGTCTCTCTTTGGGGTATAAGAGAGGATGGGAGGTGCTACGACGCTCCGGATGCTTCACCGTGGGAGTATATCCGTGTCGTGGGTTTGCCGCCTCGTAGCAGCCAAAAAGTGCCGTCGTCCAGTAGCGACATCGGCAGAAGACCGACCGAGCAAGACGCAATCCTTCACAGACACCATGATTGGCCCTGTCCAGATGCTCTAGCACGTCTTTCGGGCGATAGATTGCAAATGCGCGGAATGTCGCCTTGACGCGACGAGAATTTGGCCCTAGCGCGAATTGCGTGCTCGACACGCCAAGAGTCCGCGCACGTGACGGCGGGGAAATCACGGCCCTCGGAGATCTGATCGAAACCTCCGTCTCGTCTCGCCTTCTGCCGTCCTTCGCGCAATGCATTGTTGCTCAACGCCTGCCAAAGTTTCAATCGCGACACTAGACTTGTGCCCCAAAACTGTCTTGCTCAGTTCTCCTGCCACTAGATGCTCCACGCGTCCGTGTAATACTACACAAGGCTGAGCATGAACGACCAAACGCACGAACCGAGCGCATGCATGCGGATCCAATGCCAGACTGTATGCGTGCAGCGGTGCAACCCATCGCAGTATTGATATGATCCTATGAGGGCTGTGTATACCTTTTGTGCACACTTGGCGTCGTACAAATAACATTAGACATCTACAGGCAACAGCACTGCCCCTCCATCATGGTCTCTTCACATCCTGCTGTTTTGCATGTATCGAGTTCACTAGGTCGGGACGGAACCCTTGTACTAATATTGTCGCATTCACAAACTCACGATGGAAGCCATAGGTCTAGTGGCCAGCATAATCACTCTCATCAGCGCAGCCAGCAATGCCGCCTTGATCCTGGAACGAGTATTAGGCCTGCGCGGCGTTTCCCTATACGTCCTCGGAGCACTGAACGAAGTCACCGACTTCAAGGCTACTTCCACTCTGGTACAGACAGCAGTAGATGAAACTCAGCATCAGCTTCCGCAGGCCTATCGGGCGGAATACAACAGGCTTCTGGATCGAGCACTGGGCTGTATGGACGCCTTCACGAAGTACCTCCGAAGAAATGTCCTACGTGAGCGAGAAGAAGTAGTCGGTGCTGGAAAAGTCATCGAGCTGAAGAGACGTGTGAAGTGGATGGACGTGTTGGGGAGAGGTCAAGCGCAATGTCAGATCGACGCATTCCAGCAGGAGCTGACTTCCTTGAAACTCAACTTTGTATTGGCGATGAGTGCGACGAATTTGTGAGTTGCAACCCGTCTTCATACGTCGCATACCAGGGCTGCGAGAGACAGCTAGATCAGGCATTGTTTACGGGTCAGTTGGCTAATGTCAAGTATTTAGAAAAACTACGACCAAGCTTTCTACCATCATTCAAGATGTTACTATCATTCACGTGGGAGACGTCCCTGAAGGATCAATGGTCCACGGCAACGCGATCGATCTGCCTTACGCGATGGAGAAAGCGGCATGTATGAGCACAATCTCATCAACCACTGATAACACCATGGATGACCAGAGCGATTTCACGTCTTATGTCAAAATTGAAACCAAAGAAACTGCGACGAATCGGACTTGCAGGTCATCATGTCCTTGCGACTGCCATGTACCATGCCAGGGCACCACGCCAAGATGGCTACGGGGTTTGGTTGGTGTCGCATTCTTTAAATTCACTTCAGTACCTTTACTCAACCGCCGGTCATGTAACTACGGCCATTGTCATCAAAGGTCGAACGCAACAGGGTCACTGCACTTTCGCTACTTTTTCCCGGTCTGGCTCTTACCCCTTGGGATTGAAGTTGCAGCATCTTGGCGTTCACTGGGTGGTGTTGGCGGGACCTGGAGTCTCAAAATACCGCAAGTCATCACAGATCCCATTCCGGTATACCAAATGTATCAAGCAATACTCAGTGGGGCTACATCAGATTTGCAGCGCATCATGCGACTCTATGGGGTCAATATCGTCGACATGCTGATGTATAGACAAGAGCCTCAATCATTACTCAATGTAAGTACGTGCCTGCTGCCTATGCATTTGCTGACATATCTAGGAAGGTCGCTCTGTCGCGAGGATATCTGTTCATGCCTTTAGTTACGATGCTTTTGGATGAGGGAGTGGACTTACATTCTCCCCAGTTATCAAACGGAAAGTAAGCGTCACTGAAACCGTCTCAATGCCTAAGCTGAAAGCTCCAGAACTCCTGCCCAAATATTCAGCCTTGCGCATGCGCTGGGTAATCCAATAGACGAGCTGAGAGACAGACCAGACTTCCAGGACATCTGTGTAGAGCTCAACCTCGCTTCCGCCACGGAGCTGCTATTCCAAGGATGTTCAGACCGCCTAAGAGACCTCCTCGAGAAACAATCGGGCGCTGCGCTTGATCGAGATTCCATGGGAAGGACTCCGCTTCATTGGGCTGTAGCTCTGGAGAATCATGAGGCTATAGATATGCTGATCGAAGCCGGTGCAGATGTACATGCAGTCGGGCACGATGGCCGGACCCCATTGTATGACGCGATCTGTGTACTGGGTCGATCACGCGCGACTTGCATCAAGATGATACAAGCTGGTTCAGACGTCAACCATATTGCATCCGTTGGCTCGAGTCCTCTCAGAAGTGCGATAGAAGGAAGCTCTGAGGTTCCGGTAGTCGACATTCTGATAGATGCCGGAGCAGATGTGCACCACGTTCACAATGGTGAAACTCTTCTACACAACACTGCCCAGGTATGCACGGGGTTTACCTGCGAAGCATTACTGTGGGCTGGCGTTGATATTGATGCTCGAACTTCCTATGGGCAGACCGCAGTCATTATTGCTGCAACCCATAACAACCATGACGTACTTGAGACGCTTATATGTCACCACGCTCAGCTCAACAAAACAACACTCCAAGGCCATACGATCGTGCACTATGCAGCTTTATACGGCGATATCGCAACCATGAAGATACTCGAGCAAGCTTGCATAACAGGGCTACCCATGGATAAAGAAGCATTGGAACAATACTGGTTATGGTTCGATGAACGCGTTCACTATATCATTCCAACGCGGCGGGCACCCCTAGAGGCTGAAGAAGCCGCTTTCCAGGCTCTTCTCGATAGCATTATCCCCGCAAGATCTGCCATGTTGGAGCACGAACACCACGAAGATTACACAGCTTTCCACATACCGGGAGCGTTTCCAATTAATCTAGACGAGCCCAATTGCGATAGTCGGGTCGCAGAGGTACAAGAGTAGGACGATGACGACGGATACGAAGAGGGAAGGGACAGCGACGATGAATCATGGGTTACCACCGACGATGACTCTCCAAGCTTTGAAGCAGGTATGGAAGCTGCAAGCGATGATGAAGTCGACGAATTGATTTGACGAACCAAATCACTCAGGCAGTCAACGCGGAATGCTGGATGCAATTTGTACTTTCAATCATGTTTAGATGATCGTGTGTTGGGAGCACGCACTCCAAAACTCATCATCGCGGCTCTGATTTCTTATCGTGTGTCACGGAAGACTTGATCATGTACTAAAATTGCGCTAGAAACGTTGATCGTATGCTTCGTGGCCGCTTGCGATTCCCTCCACCTTCCGTTTGGCCATCTCATCATCCTTCTTACTTTATAGCCAGATCGACGGGGCACATGTACGTTCAAGATAAGCCTCACCAAGCATCATCGCTCCACATCGACGCGAACTACCGTAGTTGGCAATATCCATAGGCGATCCTTGACCTCCACAGCAATCGCGATGTCCACGCTGCCTTATTGAGACGCATGTAGCTTTTGTCACACATTTCGGCGAATAAGAATGACATTCCAATGTTGCGATGATGTCAAAACCTCCACGCGGAAGTGAGGTGCCGACGCGAATAAGTCGCGATGTTCGTGATCAGCATGCGGAGCGCTTTACCGTGTCGCGCTTATCGTCATAACATCGTAACAGCAGAACATCACGATCCCATCTCCACTGACCGTGCGATTGCATCACTGCAATGATGTCGCCGACTGTTGATAAACAATATCACTTATCTGACTGCATTTCGCACCTTCCCAGCACTCGCACCGTATCCTTGTTGACCCCACAAACACACCATCCCTCCTACAAGGACCATCTTCACACTTCTCACAACAAACACCCCCCAAAATGGCACTCCACGCCGCCTCCTCACCCAAAAAAGTCTCCCAAACCCTCCAACAAACGCCCGGCATCCAAATCTTCCTCCAACCCATCGCCCCGCCCGCCGCCCTCGGCCTCGCCGGCTTCGCAGGCTCAACATGGATAACCTCATCCTACATCGCCAACTGGTGGGGCAACGCCGAATCCCCAACCATCTTTTTCCCATTCGTAGGACTCTTCGGCGGACTGGCGCAGTTCATCGCAGGACTATATGGGTTCAAAGCGCGGGATACGTTGGTGACGGTGATAAATACCATGTGGGGAAGTTTTTGGATTAGTATTGGGGTTTTGTATGCTTTTGTTGTAAGTGTTGATGGTTTATGAGGGGGGTTTGAAATAGGGTAGGGGATGATGGGCTAACGAGGGTAATGACAGGCGGCTGGTGCGTTGGATCCACATGAAGTGCACACGCACTTCCCCGAACTGGCGTCTTGGTTCGTGATACTTTGCGTCTTCACCTGGTCAGGTGCGCTCGCAGCGACAGCACGCGATGTTGTCCTCAGCGTCTGTCTCTTCTCCCTGGCTATCGGCAGTACGATCGCTTGTTGCATGTTCGCGTTCAACGGTCGTCCCGTCACCACCGCGGACACTAGCGCGTCGGGTGATAGTCTCACTGGCGGAGTAACGATGGGGATGAAGGCTGCAAGCTACTTCTGGATGTTGTCCGCCCTCTGTGCTTGGTGGAGAGTGACGGTGTATCTCGTCGAAGAGGCATATGGACCTGATCATACGATCACAAAGTTCTTCCCTATTGGTAGGACGCCGATGGAGAGGAGGGCTCCTTTGGTTATCCCGGGTCTGGGCGAGCCTGGTGTTAAGAGGGGTGTTCCGAAGCCGTTGCCGGTATGATGGAGTGTGCATCAAGCTGAGGCTGGTATTTGGGGTGGCCGTCTGGCGGCTCTAAGACCCGTGGCCCTTCGCCAGTTGCATCACTTTGTCAGACAAGAATCCGCATACAATTTTCGAGGGTTTGCATCTGCTATATCTCGATTCCAAGGTTGGCTTCGGAGATGTCTCTGTCATCACGTGCGATATGGGCTGACGTGCTGCTGTGTCCTATGGCATATCGCTCCTGTGCGGGAAGTTCTAGGGACCGAGTCGTTCTATCGTGTCAGGCAACGCGTACCCTGGCAAATAGCTATTATACCCGGAGAGGATGTCACCTAGAATCCATGTGAACAGTAAACAAAGTCAGATTCGACTCCTGGGTATCCAAAAATGCAGCGCATACACGACGGCTGTTTCCAATGCTTCCTTCTCTCTTCAGTAATTACGCCGTAGCAGTCCGCATATTCCTGCAATGTTCACAAACTCTTCCTCTTCAAAACATAAGTCTGCAGAGTGCCGCATCTAGCAGAGACTCTTGTCAACCATGCGAGCGAAACAAACTCGGTGCCATCCATCTGTCAGGAAAGCAGGCTGACAGCAATGCTCGCGTGCGGGCTGTACCGAGCACTGGCCAAACCCATGTAGCCAGTAGGCAGCAGAATCATTGGCTATAATGTAGCACATGGCCGTGGAGTGGTCGCTATTACAGTCTGCTTCCTTTCTGGGAACACAATGAGCTCATACTAGCGCGGTCAGCGAACTGAACCAAGCCATCGATCTCTTGTGCAGTACTTCGTCACCATCAGTCTCCTCAGAGCCAGCATCTGTAGAGTGAGGCAGGGGTAAAGTATCCCCGTCCCGAGTCGCTTCATCGTACTACTGAAGGTCTGCATCTGCGGGCATGACAAATCCAGTGTCGCCGAAGTCTTGCAAGACGTACTCAGCCAGGGCGTCTAATCTTTTCCGCTGGACGTGAAGCGCGCCGCTCCTGAGATCTCTATCGCGCTGGCTCATGTTGCTAAGTAATGAGGGCGCTTTGCCTTTGATGGTCAAATGTTGTTCGTTGCTTGATCCAGGACGTGAGACTGGGTCGTCGGCCTCTGGGTATCGTGGATCTCCCTGTCCTTCGGCCGAGATCTTGAAGCCCTGCTTTTTGCCGGGAGCGATTCTACCGATGAGAACGAGCAGTAGCTCTGGTTGCAACAGGCGTACTATGATATTACAATCCGGAGTCTCGATGGTGAGTGTCCTAAGTGCGGGTTGCAGCGACTGGTCCTGGGTAGCTCCGTTGCGGGCCGATGGCTTTTGACGTCCTTGGCAGTTGTCTTTCCAGGTCATAGATATTAGGGCAGCCTGGTCGCGAAGCTCCTTGGTCTGGACAGGCTTTGAGTACGCTAATAGTGTGCCATTTGGAGACATCAAGCTACTGACATTAGTTGGAGTAACAGTGTATGGTACTTGGAACCTACAAGAGTCTCGGGTAGATGTGTTCGTTTGCATTCTGCGTGAGCCAGTCGCTCACTTTAGCGATGTTGATCATTGCGGGATCTGCAGACATGATTAGACGGAGAAGCTGTAGGTGTTAAGAACTAAAAATGAAGAATAGACTGTGCGTGGGGAGTTTTCAGCGACGCGTGAGCATGTAGCGAGTACCACGCGCTGCAGCGAATGTATGTGGTTTGGATAACGGTGATGTGAAAGAAGGCCCACGTACCTGGTCAATCGTTGGCGCAACCACTTCCGCGCTGTCGTGCTGCTAATTCACCGATCTGCGCCTTCTCTGAGACCAAAGGAAGATAGAACGGCGAGCGACGCGTCGCAACAGTAAGGAACGCGTTAGAACACGAGAAGGAACGAATGGGAACACGAGAGAGAAGTTGCGCGTGTCAGTATCTTGATCATGACGATGTTCAAGACGAAGTTCCCCAGGAGAGAGAGCTATGACCACCTGGGCTGGCCGGAGCCTTGTTTTCCGCCGCACGTGCTCTCGCGCTCATGCCATGAAGAGCTTGTATTGTTGCAGCCTAGTACCATGAGCAGCTTGGAGATGCTACCCAGGTTTCGTGCATCTACACATCACGACAGGAATCAGACGCAGGGTATATCTTTAGGCTGGGTCACGAGTGGAGTGTGAAACGAAGGGATGGGCGCGCGCGCACGCGACACGACGATGTTCTCGGATGCCACACGCCTTACAACGATATATCGACCTGATGACATCTCCAGATCTGGGTAGATAGTGCTCATGTTTGATGTCGACGTCACGAACGATTCGTCGTTCGCACGCATTCGAGATGCTTTCTACCCCACCGGGCTGATCTCCGAGCTAATGCCGGGTGAGGGGCAATTGGCAGCTCTTCATTGGATCGCAGACGTCATCGGCCTTAGAATCTGTTTCCCCTCAATTGCGCTGCGATACTGCTAGAGAGCTCAATCAATGCTTTTCACGCGTCTCGCAATACCAAAAACATTACGAGTAGTCGCATCATCTCCACTTCGTCCTCTCAAATCAAACAGTACATCAAGCCTCCTTATTCGAACGCTAGCAACCATGGCGACCGACCCATCCAAGTACAAGCTCAACCACTCCATGTGAGTACCCGCATGGCATTTACTGCGCCATCCCCATACCATTGGCTAGCTACTCACATTTACTAGGATCCGGATCAAGGATCCGAAGCGATCTGTCCAATTCTATGAGTTCCTTGGAATGAAGCAGATCAACCAGATCAAGAACCCCGACGCCAAGTTCGACCTCTACTTCCTCGCGTACGATAGCCCGAAGGCCGCCTCGCACGGCAACCACTGGACCGACCGCGAGGGAATTGTGGAGTTGACACACAACTACGGCACCGAAGACGATCCAAACTACAAGATCAGCAATGGCAACACGGAACCACACAAGGGCTTCGGCCACCTCTGCATCTCGGTAGACAACCTGCAGGCAGCTTGCCAGAGGCTAGAAGATGCGGGTTACAAGTTCCAGAAGAAGCTCACAGACGGTCGCATGCGCCACATCGCGTTTGTGCTCGACCCTGATGGCTACTGGGTGGAGGTCATTGGCCAGAAGCCACTGGAGGAGACCGAGAACGTCAAGGACACCGATACAGGCTCGTACCGCATGGTAAATAGCGTCGCGATGACTCTAGGTTTGCATACTGATTGATCGTAGAACCACACCATGATCCGCGTCAAGGACAAGGAGGCCTCACTCAACTTCTACCAAGACGTCATGGGCATGAAGCTCAAGCGCACCTCAGAGAACGAAAGTGCTAAGTTTAACCTCTACTTCCTGGGATACGGCCCCGATGCATCCGAAAACACCGCCAACGGCGTCAACCCGGTAGCAAACACCGAAGGCCTACTTGAGCTGACCTATAACTACGGAACCGAGAACGACGCAAACTTCAAGTACCACAACGGCAACGATGAGCCCCAAGGATTCGGCCACATCTGCATTGCTGTCGATGATCTCGACGCTGCGTGTGCTCGGTTCGAAGAGAAGAAGGTCAACTGGAAGAAGAGGCTTACTGACGGTCGCATGAAGAACATCGCTTTCGTACTAGGTAAGTCGTTATCTATCCGTCGCACGAAGCGACAACTGACAGAAAACGCAGATCCCGATGGTTACTGGATCGAGGTAGTGCAGAACGAGAAGCTCAAGACACGTAGCAATTGGTAAACGGGCGGCGCCGACTACCCGCGTGATGTGCATATCCCACTCTACAGCAATTCAGCCTCCAATCGTTGAAGATCACACCATATGTGGCTACCCACGCTGCGCAACATATGCACAGTATAGTACCATGACGGACGCGAGCGCTCGCGGTACTACAACAACAACTGAATAATGTAACACTTTCTACATTACATCGATTTTCTTTCAACGGATTCTCTCATGAGGGTTTTTAACACAGTCTCTGCAACGTTCCGAGGGCGTTGAACGATACCTAGGTACTTCGCCAAATTGACCCTGCAGCAGCGGCGCTGACCCCGTGGGGTAGAAGGAGTGCGGGGTAAACCTAGCCAACAGGTAAGGCTACCACAAAGACATCCCTCTGACGCATGCTACTGCAGTAGACCGATAGCGGCGCAGTCTTACTCTGGGTGTACAAAATGGAGTGTACTCCTCCTGTAGGCTTTGCGCTTACATCTCATACAGTCTCACGTAAACTTACAGTGAACGCAATAACCGGCACATACCCTTGATCAACTCACTGAAACTCTTTCATACCTAGTTACTTAAGTCTTCCAAGTACCGGCAAGGACGGCACAAACCGAAACCCGTCAACATGGCAATCCTCATGCACACCGCGAGAAGGAAGATCTTGATACCAGAGAAGGTCTCGCCAGATGGACTGGCATTACTCAAAGACCAATTCGATGTAGATGAGAAGAAAGGCCTAAGTCCAGAAGAGCTCAAGGAAATCATCGGCGAATATGACGCTCTCATCGTACGGTCGGAGACGAAGGTGACGGCAGAGCTTCTGGGTGCCGCCAAGAACATGAAAGTTGTTGCTCGTGCCGGTGTTGGCGTTGACAATGTAGATGTTCAGTCGGCCACTTCACACGGTATCATTGTGGTGAACTCACCTTCTGGGAACATCAACGCCGCGGCGGAACACACTATCGCTCGTGGGTAGTCTAAGCAACATCATCTTTGCACCAACTAACACGCTACAGTGATGATGGCTGTGGCTCGCAATATTGGAGATGCATCGCAAAGTATCAAGGCTGGGAAATGGGAGCGAAGTCGATTGGTGGGTGTGGAGGCAAAAGGCAAGACTCTGGCCATTGTCGGCTTGGGCAAAGGTGAGTTTGATGTTTGTCGTTTATAAGAGCTGGCTAACACTTTCCCAGTCGGTCTCACAGTCGCTCGTATTGCCAATGGTCTGGGCATGCGTCTGATAGCCTACGACCCCTATGCAAACCCGAACTTGGCTGCAGCGGCTTCAGTAACCCTCCGCCCAAGTCTAGCTGAGATCCTAAAAGAGGCCGACTTCCTGACCCTACATACTCCCTTGATCGCCTCGACTAAAGGCATGATCGGCAAGGCCGAACTAGAGACCATGAAGCCAACGGCCCGCATCCTAAACGTAGCACGCGGCGGCATGATCGACGAAGATGCTCTCGTCGAAGCTCTAGACGCCGGTGTCATCGCGGGCGCAGGTATCGACGTATTCACCTCCGAACCACCCGAGCAAAACTCCTCAGCATCCCGTCTAATCGCCCACCCAAAAGTCGTAGCAACCCCCCACCTCGGCGCCTCGACCAAAGAAGCCCAAGAAAACGTGTCCATCGACGTCTGCGAACAAGTCGTCTCCATCCTCAGCGGCGAACTCCCCCGCTCCGCCGTCAACGCACCCATCGTCCTCCCCGACGAATACCGCACCCTCCAACCCTTCATCAGCCTCGTCGAGAAGATGGGCAGCCTCTACACCCAACACTACTCCTCCGCGAAAACCGGTTCTTTCCGTACGACCTTCGATCTCATCTACGAAGGCAAGCTCGCTACGATCAACACGACGAAACCCCTCTTTGCGGCGTTGGTTAAGGGACTCCTCACGCCCATCACCTCGAGCGACGGCCTAAACATTAATATTGTTAATGCTGAATTGTTGGCGAAGGAACGCGGCATCCTCATAAACGAACAGCGCTCCCGCGAAAACGTAGAAGACAAACCCTACTCCTCCTTCATCACCCTGCGCGCCCGCGCCTCACGCTCCGTATCCCAACAACCCCATTCCCATTCCCGCAACGCATCTCCCTCCGCCGCCCGCGCCCTCCAACCTACCACCAACCCCCCCTCTTCCTCTTCATCTTCCTCCTCCTTCGACCAAATCATCCAAGGCTTCGTCTCCGGCAACAAACCCTTCATCTCCCGCCTCGACAAATTCAAAGGCGAATTCGTGCCCCGCGGCACCCTGCTCATCTGTCGCAACTTTGACAGTGTGGGTAAGATTGGGTATGTGGGGAATTTGCTGGGGAAGGCGGGGGTGAATATTGAGTTTATGAATGTTGCGCCGTTGGATGGGGAGGTGGAGGAACGGTTGGTGGGGAGGAATGGAGGGGGTAGGGATGGGAATGGAAATGGGGTGGAAGGAGGAAGGGAGGGGAGTAATGAGGCGTTGATGATTTTGGGGGTTGATAAACCGGTTGGGGAGGATGTGCTTAAGGCGCTGATTGGGGAGGAGGGGGTGTTGGAGGCTAGTGTTGTGAATTTTTGAGGGGGGTCGGGGTCGTTGAGAGGGGATGTGGGTGGCTTCAACATGCTACTGCTTCCCTTATCTCTGGTCTCATCTCATCATTACATGCGCTCGATTCAATTCATATACACAACCACCACCTTCCATCCATCCCTTCCCCTCCCAAATATTTCCCCCCCACCGTACGTCTTCACCACCACCCTTCCTTCCTTCCATCCATCCTCACATCTCCCCCTTCTCCCCCTTCTCCTTCCCCTCCCGCTGCAACTCCTTCATATGCTCCTCATGATCACCAACCTGCTGCCGATCCGCCGCAATGTTGCTCTCGCCATGACTAGCCAGGTCCTCGCGCCATCTGCCCTCGCCCTTTTCCTGCTCCTTGAGCTGTTCCTGCTTTGCGGCTTCGACTTGTTCGGGGGTGCGCGCTGCGTCTTCTTTGATGCGCAGGGAGGGTGTTGTCAGGAAGGTACGCGTAGTGGTGAAAGGTGTGGTTAAAGGTGTGGTGGTGAAAGGTGTGCGCGAGGTGGAGATGGGGGTGGAGGTGCGCAGGGAGCGGGTTGCTGTGTAGAGGGCGCGGGGTGCCATTTTGTGGGTTTGAGAGTTTGAGGTTTGAGGTGGGGGATATGTGAGGGTTGTGGTTTGTTGAAGGGGAGTTTTAGAAGTGTAGTAGGGGGATTGAAGAGTGAAAAGTGTTTTGTTATGCAAAAGACGGATGTTGCTGCCCCGTTCTTGTGGGCAGCGTCATTGGCTGTGACGTCATTGCATGGGTGCACGACTGAGGTTGCTCCACGCAGATGCCGCATCCGGTGGAGCTGCAGCATGGGCACGTCACTGGTGGTCGTGGCTTTGGAATTGGCATTTTTTTTTCTCTTTCGATTGTGGGGTATATACAGTTGGATGCCTGAGATGCGACTCTCAATGCTATGATGCTGTGACGTGATGCTCCCTATACGCCCTTGATTACCTTCGATAGCTACCTGATGTTTATGCCTTTGATATTTCCTTATCATGACTATAGTCTGTCCACGTGGTATCTGCATCTATCCTGTGCTGTTCTTAGGTGCGCTGCCTCCACCGCTGCTCTTCTTGTCCGGCGCACCGCCATTGCCACCAACGTCTGGGCTGTTGGGTTCGCTGACCTTCTTGTTGCCGGGGCTGGCGTTCAAGCTGTTCTGTGGGCCACCAGCCTCCTTCTCAGCGGTCGCCTCTGCCTCCTCTGGGCTGGTCTGTTTGGGGTCGAAAGCAGCGTCGGAGTGTGCGGCGCCATCGTCGGAGCCAGACTTGGCGTACTCGGTCGACCGAGGCTTGAGCGAGTCTTTGTCTTGCGCATCTTTTTGAGCGAAGCGTGCTGGCGTTGTGCTGAGGAAGCGAGGGCGGACGATGGCTGCGCGAGAGAAGGTTGCGCGTTGTACGGCGCGTGCGGGTTGGATGCGGAACATGGTGAGGTTACGATGTGCGACAGGTCTGGGTTTCCGAATGAGCAGATTGGATGTATTGAGTTTGAGGTTTGGGACGTCGAGTAGTTGCGGGGTCAGAAGCAATTGACTATCTTGAGGTCGCGGTGACGAGTTGATGCTGTAGCTCGGAGCTTGTCCACGGACCCTCACATTGACGTCAGTTCCACCAAACTGCAGCCGAGGCCGCTAACCACGTGACACACGACGCGTTCATCGTCTGAGCTACATTCCGACCTATCATCCGCGTCACAATATCTCCAATGCCGTTGATTTGGTCTTCGACTTGACGTATGACTTGCACATCCGAGCGAGTCGACGCGTTCAAGCCTGGGTCGGGGAGTCGCGCTCATCTCCGACCTCCGCCGTTCCCGTCGCCTTTGACTAGGCGTCTCCAGGGCTTGTTTGGTACAAGCTTTTCGTTCAACAGGCAACATCCCGCCAGACCCTACACATTGGATCGAACATGAGACAACTCCAAAGTGTCAAATGTACAGAACACCAGGAATCGAACGACATATTGTGGTCTTCTCGTCAGGCCGGTCATGATGCTGGGACGCACATCGAACCTGACTCTTGCATGCTTACCAAATTGTGCATCTAGCTGTCTTCAAGACTCATCGACTTCTCTTGCAGAGTCACAATCTTCCCATACGCCTTCCGAGTCTGGTGTAGCTTACAATCAGTCTAGACTCATCCTAGGGTACTCCGCAGGCTATGGCTGCACGCCTGATGACTGACCTAACACCTTAGGAGTTGTTGCATGAAGTAAAAAAGGACCTTTCTCTTCATTGCACGTTCGTGATCGACGACCCCATTGTCCATTCTCTTTGACCCGACCTGGCGCACGGAGCACCAAGTCTTAACGCCTTGGATAAAGAAACACCTGTAAAGATCGAAGGATTACAGCTCCGCCAACTGGTCAGCTTCTACGTCCTCAACCGATCCCAGATACAATCCCAAGCATGCCTGCCTCAACGTGGATACCGCCGCCGCCTCCAGACCCCGACACACTGGTCAACCCAGCGCCCTTCGAGCCCTTCCCTCTCATCCAACTACGCGCCGGCAAGATCAAGAAGTCGCTTGGAAACGGCAAGATCGCGTCTGCCATCTACAAAGGACCGCTGACGGGTCCAGTCGAGATCACCGAGCTTGGTATTCCGACCGATGAACATGCATTCCATCTGCACGGCGGCCCAGATAAAGCGCTCCTCCACTACTGCACATCGCATTACGATGAGTGGAAGAAAGAGTTACCGGCCTCGGAACACCATTTCAAACCCGGTGCGTTTGGCGAGAACCTCTTCAATACCGAAGTTAGCGAGATGAACTTGTGCATTGGAGATCGACTGGCCATCGGTGACATTGTTGTCGAGGTTAGTGAGCCACGCGGACCTTGCTACAAGCTCAACCATCGCTTCGAGGTCAAAGACATGGCCAAGCGCACACAGACGCTACTGCGGACAGGCTGGATGTACCGTATCATCAAGACCGGCACCATCACCGCCGGCGACATGATCTCCCTACTCGAGCGACCGCATCCAGAGTGGACGATAGCCAGGGTTATGTACTACCTATTTATCGAAACAAACAACGTGAAAATGATGAAGCAGATTGTGCAGCTGCCGCAGCTTGGATGGGACATCAAAGAGAAATTCCAGAAACGTCTAGACAGAGGTGTTGTTGAAGACCACAATAGCAGACTGTTTGGTGGCGAGGACGAGAAGATGGATACTTGGAATGAATACCGCCTTGTCGAGAAGCGAAGGGAGACGAGCAGTGTTACGGCCTTCATCTTCGAATCCATTGAAGACATCCCAGAGCCGCCGCACGTCGAGCCAGGAAGCCACGTACGGCTTAAGCTGGGAGGAAAGTTGGTACGCGCCTACTCCGTCGTAAGCGGCACCTCAAAGCGCTTCGAGCTCGGTGTCGCACTAGACCCAAGCAGTCGCGGCGGCTCCAAATACCTCCACTCGCAGACCAAAGTGGGCGATATCCTCACCGTCGGCCGCATCACAGCAAGCTTCCCGCTCGCCAAAACTGCAGACCGACACATCATCATCGCAGGCGGCATCGGCATAACAGCGTTCATGACAGCCTTTACCTACCTCCAAGAAACGAACCAAGACTTCCACATCCACTACGCCGTCGCAGAAGAAGTACCCTTCGCCTCTCAAATCGCCGCACTAGGCCCCAAAGCAACAATCTACAACAAATCGCTCGACCAACGCCTGAACCTCTCCGCTATCCTCTCAAAAGCCGATCTCCAAACCCACATCTACACCTGCGGCCCCCCACGCCTCATGGACGCCGTCGTTTCCACCGCGAAATCCTACAACATCCCCGAATCCTCTGTCCACATCGAAGCGTTTACGGTAGCTACATCCGGTGATCCGTTTACCGCGGAGCTTAAACAAAGCGGGAAGACGGTGGACGTGCGGGCTGCGGAGTCGCTGCTTGATGCGCTGAGGGCTGTGGGTATGGAGATTGATAGTTCGTGCGAGGTGGGGAATTGCGGGACGTGTAGGGTGGATGTTTGTGGGGGGAGGGTGGAACATCGGGGGACGGGGTTGTTGGGGGAGGAGATGGAGGCGGGGGCTATGTTGAGTTGTGTTAGTAGGGGGGTGGGGAGGGTTGTGCTGGATTTGTAGGGGGTTAGCTTTTGTAATCATGAAGTGGAGGCATTGTTGTATTGCAGAATGGTGACGTGGTGATGAGTTTGGAGGTTCAGGAACAATGCGTTTGGATAAAACAGTAATGGTTTTGTCAAGTGTCTTCCAACAAGACGGAAAGGCGATGACAAGAAGACCTAAACGCCATTCCAATGCAAACTCCAATCAATCATCCCACCGCATATTCAAGATCAAACATTCAACTTCCTTACCACTCAACCCCTTCTTCTTCCCTCCAGCCCTCTCCATCTCACTCCCCTTCCCTCCCCCCTCTCTCTCATCCATTCCGAGTCACATATTCCCGTTAAACCACCACGACGCCGCGACTGGCCAGCCAAATATAACCGCGTAGAACGGGAAGTAACTGAATGACCATTAGCAACAAATTCCCAACCAGAAGGATAGTTGGTGAAGAAACGAAGAAGACTTACACAGCACTCGTTTTTACCAATTTCCTTGAGAGATCACCAGCTCGCCATGCATGAGGCGTCATGGTTATGGGGTTGCGAGCGAAGGGGTGGGGCTCTACCATGCTGCGGGAGAGGGTGCGCCAGAGGAGGCGGGCTTGGGTTGGTGATGGCATGGTTGTGTGTTGGGGTTTGTGTGGTTGTGTGAAGGTAGAGGTTTGGGCGGGATGGAGTTGAGATGGAAGTGATGTTGCCGTAGTACTGTGTAGACAGACTTGGTGTTTACGTCTTTTGCTGAGGGTAAAGATGTATGAACTGGACTGTTGATACCAGTAGTTGTAGTTGTCGTCTTTGTTGTTTCTGAATAGCCACCATACCCCAAAGACGACCATCCTATTTATCCAACCTACCCCCCAAACCTCCATCCCCATCACCCTCACCAACCCGCCATCGCACCACCAAACCATGGCGTGAGCCCTCCATCCACCTCAGCCTTACGCCGCAACCCGAACGGCTGGCCTGACATGTGGGACAAGCCAGGCACACCAAAACCAACAGTCAGCCGCAAAACACGACCCGTATCGGGCAACAGACATGGAAGCTGTGGAAAGCAGTCGCTTGTTCCCGGACACTGTCATTGGTCTGGACTGGTGCGAAACTTTGGATGTGATGACGGTGGTGAGAGGGTGGTGTGAGTTCGGTTGGGGCAGGGTCGGCGGGTGCCGACGGCTTGAGTCAGGGGCGATGCGGCGTGCTGGTGAGGCGATTGTGGTGTGATGCGGAGAAGCAATGTGTATGCAAGATGCTGCCCTCACGAGGGGAAGACGGAGCTTCTGTCATGGTTGTTTGTGTTCGCCTTGCTATGCGATTCTCGGCTTTCACATGTGAGTCGCGGTTTCAAGGATGAAGCTGCGAGAGACAGCTATCGGGATGACGCACCTCGGTCGGCCTGGCTTATCAGGGTCGCGGACGAATTTCCGCACTGACAGACGCGGCGAAACTTTTGACTGACAACACCACGCGCCCACAATTCAAGCTGAGAAGCTCGTCCTACTACTAACCAGACCACGATCAGAGTAGCAAATATGGCGGCAGCAGTACTCGCAGGCAGCACAGGCCTCGTCGTAAGTCCCTCACACCCCAGATAACCCCATCACGCACTCCTAACCCACACACGCAGGGCTCCAACATCCTCACCACGCTCCTCGCCCACCCCTCCTTCTCCGCCATCCACGCCTACACGCGCCGCGACCTCCCCAACCCAGCCGGCTCCACAAAGCTGCAACCCATCACCTCTCCCGACTCGTCCACCTGGCCCGCCCAATTCCCGTCGTCCTCTTCCCCTCGCGTCTTCTTCAGCGCTCTAGGCACAACCCGCGCCCAAGTCGGCGGCTTCGACGCGCAACGAAAAATCGACTATGATCTAAACTTATCGCTCGCCAAGACCGCCAAAGAAGCCGGCGTAGACACATACATCCTCATCTCGTCCAACGGCGCGAATCCCAATGGGTATTTTGCGTACCCGAAGATGAAGGGCGAGTTGGAAGAGACGGTTAAAGGGCTGGGGTTCAAACACACGGTTATTGTACGCCCCGGTCTGATTGTGGGGGAGAGGAGTGAGTCGAGGCCTGCGGAGGCGGCGTTGAGGAGTCTGGCGAAGGGACTGAGGGGGCTGACGCCCAAGATGACGGATTGGTGGGCGCAGGATGCGGGCGTGATTGCGAGGGCGGCGGTGGAGGCGGGGGTGAGGTGTTTGGACGGGAAGAGGGAGGAGGGGGTTTGGGTGATGGAGATGAGGGATATTGTTGAGTTGGGGAGGGGGTAGGTGGTGGATGGGATGGGGATGGGGATGGGGATGGTGGTGTATGATACCCTTTGTGCAGTTGTTATCTAAGCGCGTTTCTATCGTGTTTTCAAGAGCAGGTCCCGATCCCTTGACTTCGATACGATGCCCATGACTGCAGACTACGGCGATAAGCGATCCCATACCACGAGATGCTTATAGTCATTCTTTAGTATATAAAGGCCATGTCAACAGAAACCATAAACTACGACGTCCCCTTTCCCTACACACATTGACACATTCTCCACAACGAAGTAAATACTACACTCAAATATCCGACACCAATAATGACAGTCAGCATATTCACCCGCTCCAATGCACGCTGGACCCTTACAGCACGTGCTAGACTCACTGCGGAAATTCACGCGGTACCTCGCGCTTTCCCCACTCTGCTAGAGGTATCTTCCGAAACCTTATGCTGCCACCCAATCAGCATGAACGAATGAGACTGCGCCGCATGAAGTTCCCAGACTAACGTTACCCCTGCATCCCTCCCTCGTCTACCTCGCGCGAATTCCCTCTTTCACTTCCCGTGCAGAAACAGCCCGGCCTATATAGACGGAACGGAATGCCTCCCAAATCGCAGCGCAGTAGAGCTTGTGCTCAGTGTCGGTCGAGACGTGTTAAGGTATTTTTTACCTTGAATCTGTAATTGAGGGAGTGGAGACTGATCTGTGGTGTAGTGTGACGAACGTCCAGGAATATGTCATCAATGCGAGCGTCTCGGCCTGGCATGCTCTGGAGCACTTCAGGGCTCCATTGTCATCGATATGACAGAGCGAGTGGCCAAGCCCAGAGGGCGGAAGAAGAAAGAAACAACAAGAGCTGCACTGGCCGTCCGCGGAAAGGAATCAACGGACGATGGTCAGCCATCAGCGATCCCACGTACTATTCTAGCCCAGAACGAAGCCGCAAGCACACCAACACCAATTGGTCAGCCTTCTTCTTCGTCATACCCGGCACTACCATCCGAAAGCAGAGACAACGAAAAGATAGAGCAAGCCATCGTAGCCATCCGCTACCAATACCGACCCCCCATGCTAAACCAGCCCTCAAGAATCCTGCCAGAAGCTCTAGATACCGCGTTCCTGTCCCACTACATTGAGCTCAACAAAGGCGGAAGTCAGTACGCACCGGAAATCCAATGGTTGGGGCATATCAACCAGATTCACAGCAACGCACGGAAGCCAGCGGTTCGATTGTCGCTCCGAGCAGTGTCCATGGCCTTTTTCGGGAAGCATCATCATGATCCGAGTATTTTGATTGATTCCTGGAGATGGTATACCGTGGCGTTGAGTGCGCAGAGGACGTCCATAGCGAGACTGAAGAACGATGCGATCCCTGATGAAGAAGAGGTTTTGGTGCCGCTTATCATGTCGCTGTACGAACTCTACGTAGGGGCGACTGCGACGGGTGCGATGTCTCACATCGCGGCTGCGGCTGAGATTATGAATATGCGCGGTCCGAGTAACTGCGGGTCAGGCGCCATCTGGCCGTTGTTCAAGGGTATCCGCAGCTCTGATGTAAGACCAAGGACACCACTATCGATACCTAGCCACTCCACTAACACCCCCAGGCGCACAAATCCGTAGTCTTCAACCGCAAATCCGTCTACGCCTCCCACGACTGGATGACCCTCCCCTTCATCGGCAAACCCCGCGACGCACACCAAACCCTCGCAGACATCGAACTCATGGTCCCCCACTGTTTCGCCATGCTCGAGATACCCGGTTCTATGCGCGTCCTCTTCTCCACGCCAATACCCTCGCACGTCGACGTGAGACCTTGCAAAGAACTGGCGTGCAAATTGATCCGGCAGCTGGATGACTGGGCTGCAGCGTACCCGCACCTGACGAACTTATCCAGGAGTCCACGCGGCGGGACACCGGTTGAGAGGGGTACGTCGACACTACCCAAACCCAATACCAGGCAAGGATCTCCCAAATCAACCACAAGTTCACCTAATACCTTCATAGCCCTAATAGCATCAAACTACATGGCCGACCGCCTAGTCCTGTCCATGCTAATGTACAAAACACACACAGAATCCACAGCCCCCATCGAGTCCCATGAGATGCCTACCCCCTATTACTTCGACGTGGCAACAAAAGCCACGACGGATATCATCGAGGCGGCAGCGGAGATCGAACAGGCCCAAACACCGGGGTTCGATCTACTGAGGAGTATTGCACCCGTTATGGCTGTGGCTTTTGCGGCGCCGACGATGGGGCTGAGGAAGGATGCGGTGGATACGATGACGAGGTGGGCGAGGAGGATAGGCGGGCTGGGGAGTATTATTGGGGCGATTTGAGGGGGGGATGGGTGGGAGGCGGATGTGTGCGACTGCGAAGTCGAGATTGATGCGACGCGCAGAGAAGTGCGAGAGCGATGCGCTAATGGTGGAGAGCTCTGATGCGGTATTCGACGTCCGCCGCCTGTGGTCGTTCTCGAGGGCTGGCACGCGATGCATGGCCGCCTCCAGCTGTTTCTTCCGCAGCAGCTTAAGACTTGGTCGTTCTTCCTGTAGGATGATGGACTCGATGTCATGGTCTCGCCGGTCGCGCGCAACGGAGAGTGCTCGCTGTCGACCGGCTGGACCAGATTAACGCCGATGTCTTCTAGAAGTGGGAAGCTGCTCGAACGCGAAGGCCTTGCTGGCGATTCTTCTCGGCCTTCTACTGATGTACTCTCGGAACTTGGTCGTTTGAGTGGCTGCCAGTCGCTCCACAATGGACCAGTCCTCCAAGATATTCGAGGTGATCGCGCAGTGGGAGAGGGTGAGAGATCCAAAGCGGTGTTGCGCGACAAAATGGAATCTCGTTTAGTGGGTGGAGGATGTAAGGAAATTGGAATGGCGCTGCTTGCTACAGGCTCAAAATGTCAGTACCCTCCACCTTTCCGGCAGAACCACAGTATGGACGATCTTGATCCAAGGGTTCTGGAGATGCGATATTTCTCTCTTTTTAAGAGTATCTCCTCGCGTATGAGTCGTACGAAATACAGATGGTGTGGTTGGCTCGTCGTTTCTGGGTCGCCCCTGGCTCATCCCAGATTTTGATCCAAAGCATCTCATGTTTGCCAGCCTTCACATGTACGCGTACGATTCTATAAAGGTGTATGCGCCATGCAGGCGCATTCTGTTGGCCATACAATCCTGGAATTCAACTCGTCGCTACAACTCTCCACTACCTATCTCAACTCACAATGGCACGTCCTCTTACCTCACGCCTGACACTCCCAGGAGCAGGCAACGCCATTTTGCGAAACATCAATAGCATCTGGAAACTCTACGACGCAAGTTACGCCATTCCATACGACCTCCATCCCCACGGCGAGCATCGTGCGAACAAATGGTCCCGACTATTCCAGATGCGGCTCGAGCGTCTTGTACTTCTCACGAATTCGCGAATGAAGGATTACATCCAAGAGCAGATGCGCGATGTGGTGTACTTCAGACATCAAGGAAGACAGAACCGGTTGTTGTGCGTGACCGTTTGCGACCTCGACAGGCTGTACCGTCGGATTAGGCGCGAGCAGATTCGGGAGGACAAAGCAGCAGAAAGAGCGGAAAGACTGTATTATCGACAGCATAGGGAACAGGTCAGGCGATTTGCGCTAGTTGTTCAAGATCTTCATAGAGTGAACATAGCCCGGCAGCAACGATCATGAATACTGGCTCCCGCATCCATCGACGACACACCTTAGCATTGGATTCACATATCAAATGCGACATGAAAGAATGATGGGACATGGCCAACAACCTCTCGTACCAAGCGTGAGCATCACCATGCCTCCGACCCCATCAACCTCCTTTGTCACGTCATTGTCGTCTTTGTCCACCATCTCACAACGCCATCTTCTTTCATCATCATCACCACCAGCACACCCGCAATTACTACCTCCAACACCGCAAACCGTCAGCACACCCACCAAACACCATCGCTAGCCCATGACCCCACCCTCATCTACATGCTCCTCAAAACAACCGATTTCCACCTTCTGGCCAAGATCGAAGAAAGAACCGCTGGAGAAATCGCACGCGCAATGCCAGGCAATCCACCATACCCTGCGGGCTATCCATTTCTCCCTCCCTCGAAAAAGAATCAGAGTGCGACGGAGCGGTTAGCAGAAGTTATGAGACTGTTAGCGAAGCAGAAGAAGGGGGAGACAAAGGGGAAAAGTTCGGAGAAGATGCAGTCGAGAGGCCTTCCTCCAACTCCACCAAAACACGCTCCAGGTGCTTGGGGAGGTCTGGAAGAAGCCAGGAAGCTCATTGCTTCACAGATGGAAGAGCGAAGGAGAATGAATAGCAGCGAGACGCGGCCGCGGAAAGTAAGATGTCCGTCGTCATCGGTGTCGTCGGTATCCAGTGATAGTCTGCTGGGGCCGTTGCCGATGAGCTCACGACCGCAAGGCGCGTATCCTCCGAGCTTACCTTCGCCGCTTCCGAGGCATCATCCACGAAGTCATTACACGAGACAGCCTTCACTGGATGAGTCATCACCGAGTCCATCACCAACACGCGTGTCACAACGACCTTTTCGATCGAGTCATGATAAAAGCGATCATGAACGGAATCCACACCGACCATCACAGCGACGAGACCGAAGCTGCACTCCCATGGACGAGATTTCCGTACAAGATATCACGTGGCCGCCATTTCCTGAATGGCCGAAGGATGTATCGGAGGATGAGGAGATGAAGTTTATCGAAGGCGAGATAGAACTTTATAGGATTAGAGAGGCGTATGAGAGATCTGTGGGGAGAAAGCTGGTGGCTAGTTATAGGAAGAGGGTGCTTATGTATGAGAGGGATGTTCTGGCTTGTAGGCTTAGCGGTACAGGGAAGAAGAGGAAGATAGGGCGATAGAGGGGCAGAATTGTGCAATGATAGTCTGATATGAATCTAAACTCTATGAAGGCCTGGTGGTAGCATGCCAGATGGATTGAGGCGCTTTCTCTCTTGCTGGCGAAGCATGGTTGTGTTGATAATGCCTTTGTTTAGAGAGTCCATCAAGTTGTGCTGTTTCTTTGTTCAAGCATAAAAGCGCGACTTCCTTTCATATCGCACTATTTCGCAAAAGCTTTGGCAACGCTGAGACCGTATCAACCACAAAAGAGCCGTCGCAGGAGTACGTAGCGATCAATCCAATTCCTCCGCACGACCAATCCGTCCCAGCGCCGCCAACATGTCTGAGCTTCAAAGTGTATACGCGCCCAACAGTCTTTTCGCCCCAATGGACGATCTGCAGACATACATACTCAATACCTGGGATCTGAGGCGCACGCACGACTTCTTCACACCACCACTCCCTTATCAGGAAGTGTACAGGTCCTCAGACCCGTGGCTCATATTCGCCTTATTCTCGCTTGCCAAAACAACCTCACTCGGTACGGCACGTAGGGCGTTGCGTGAAGTACTTACACGCGATGAGCATGAAGGTGAAGTCACGGCTAGGGATGTCCAGGAGGCGCGAGATTATGTCATCAAAAACATGGAGCCGGGGGATTTGCAAAGATACAACAATGTCACTGTACCGGGACTGAGAAGAGATGAAGTCAGGTGGAATAGATACAAACATGAGTATGAGGAGGATTACCATGACTTATTGCGAAGGTTTGGCAGGCAGGGGGATGAGTGGGGGACAAGGTCTATGTCACGACGTTGCAGTCGAGATGACAGACGACGCAGCCGTCTAAGAAGTCCAGCGGGTAGATCACCAAGTCGTTACCGGCAGCGAAGTAGGAGCCGACCTCGACCACGCGATCGTGAGAGACGTGCGCCAAGCGTCAATAGGCGATTCAGCCCACCACCGCATCCTTCGTTGCAGCGAAGTCGTCCGGTCGAGCAGCCAGCCTATCGCGGCGTAACCACTGAACACTTCAGTGAATACGCCATTGAGACGCCCGATCTGGTTGCCGACCCACCCGGTGCTACTTTCGATGAGCAGCTTGGATTACGGGATGAGGCAGTGCAACTGCTTGGTGCGCAAGAAGAGTACTACGAAGCTGTGAGGCGGAAGATGCTATCTCGATATATTGCGAGAGTGCAGAAGTATGAGAGAGAAGTCATCCAAATCAGGAAGCGCGTTGCGGACGGCGAAAAAACTAGGTACGAGAGAGACGATGGAAGAAGAAGCAGGGGAGATAGGGGTTATGAGAGGACGAACCGGGATGGTCGGCGAAGATAGGATGACCGCCAAAGTGCATACAACGTCTCACTTCTCTCGTATTCAGGTACGATGAGGCGATCTTTGTTCGTTGGCTGACAGATTGGATCATCCAGTAGTCTCTTTTAGATCGTTGATAATGAGCAATGCTATATTACCCGGTGTGCTTTCACTTCAAGTATATCAAGACCGTGCACACTTAACTGCACTAGCACGGAACTTGCCCTGGAGGACTTAAGCGGGCCTTCACTTTCCACTCGCAGTCACCGACCACGTTCAACCTCTACACGTCTTTGGCCAGATATCACAATATGAACGCCTATAGCTCGGAAACCGCGATCGCGCGTGCTCGTCGTCGCGCTGCATGTGCACCTCCGATGATCATTAATAACGAGATCCCTCAACAAGAAGGCGCTCTGGGGGGCAGTCTTCGACGCCTGTCTGAGGTCAGTGATATCTCGAAAGCCTTACACTCTCCGATGAACCTGCCTTTCCGTCCGGCGCTGAAGCGTCCTGCCGACGCACCTGATGCTCACGAAGACCGCAAGACTAAGCGTGCTCGCGAAAGCCATGACTCAGACCAATCAAAACCAGGAGATACCCCAGTGCATGAGTGCCTCTTGCTCAAAACCCCCAAGTTCTTCGCGAAGGCTTACATAGCCGGACTCGAGAGTCGGCGTCAGGAGCCACATGATCTAGACCAGGATCAAGTTAGCTCTCGAATGAGCGCGCGTGACCGCCGAGATATCTCCCGATCCGCACTGCGCCCTCAAGGTCACCGTGCACGTATGACCGCACATAAAGCCAAGAGCCCCAATGCACAGCCCGTTCCGCAAACGACCTCTACGCCTAAGCTGAAGACCGAAGACTTCGGAGACCGCATCGACTTCCTGAACTTCGGATACGATGATTTCGAGCCCAAGACACCAGAGGAGAGGTTGATGAAGTATCGAGCCGATGTTGAGTTGTCAAAAGTGCATGCGAAGCGCTACAAGCTTATGGCAGATCGCAAATCGAAAAGCTTCTATTCCGACGAGGTACAGCGTCGGAAGAACGGAACTGGAGACAGCCTCGCCTTCCTGAAAGAATATGACGAAATAAAGCCCAAGACGCCGGAGGAAAAGCTGATGAAGCTTAAGGCTGATGTGAAATTCTCGAAGACACATCAGGATCGGTACAGGTTCAAAACTGCCGAGCTGCTGTTCGAGGGTAGAGCGATATTCGCGCAGCTCATGGTGGATGTTGAGGAGTCTCGATTGAAGATCAGACGGGAAGCTGCTGCGGCTGCAAATTCGAAAGCTACCTCGTCATCGTCTGAGGATCATGACCATGGAACAGAAGCTTTTCAGGGTTAGGAAGCGTCTCACGGAGGCGGAGGCGGAGGATTTGATGCCAGAAAATGCGAGAGAAGGTAGGAGGGAGACTGTCGGAGGTACCGGTGCGAGAAGAAGATCTGTAAGCCGAAAAAGGCGGTCGATATAGCTAGTCGGTATTACTTGATGGATCTGGATAGCTGCGAGGAATACACATATGAAGGTGTTGTAGCGCTAGTATTGAATAGTGCTATCGCATCACTGTGGAGATAGTGAGGAGTATACTACAATTCGCTAGTGCTTGTTAGCCATCACGACCCATCAGACGTCTCACCAAATCTCTCGACCGAGTCGGTCTCGGTTGAACTCAGCATCCCTGTATCGTGGGCAATGGGAAGGCACTCGTCTTTGTCCTATAGTCTTTGAGGGCGTTACGGCCTTCGTTTGCTTGATCGCTTCTCTTTCGGCCATCAAAACTTACACTGGCGACGATCGCGAACTAACAGTAGATGTTACCGATAAGCTATGCTCTGCTCTTCTCGACCCACGCAACGCCTCATAATCTTGATCTTCGTACTCCATCGTCATGGCATCTAGGCGGGCTGACCGACTACATGAGATCCCTTCTCACTGCGAACGAATATGCAGGAATCGGAAGCTACCCGAAGCTCAGGACCAAGAAGCGGATCGACGGCAAGATCGTCCGGATTTCTTCCCGGACCAAAGTGAACGACGCGCAAGTTCCCATGAGAAAAGACATAAACAGAGAGAGCGAAGAGGGGAATCGGTGAACAGCGATGAAGGGTATTTCCAATCAGGCGAGGATAAGACAAAAGAAGCGCGTCCACTCCATGAAAAGTTCGCAGGCATCGATGGAGATGACGGCTTGCTAGAAGATCCCCCTGATGACCCCAAAGGTGCGTCTTTCGACGACTTGCGAACTCTACACCTTGAGAAAGATCAACTATATCAAGCGCAGGAAGACTACTACCATGCTTTGAGACTGCAGATACTGGCAAGATACCGAAGAATGCACATGAGCTATTCGAGTGCTGTACGCTTCGTAGAGAGCAGGATCGATAGTGATCGGAATGGCGAAGTGATCATGTCAAAAGGAAAGGGAACTGCAGGCAGAAAGAGGAAGAGAAACACCGATGCTGGAAAGAACAGGCAGCCTCGGGATTGATCGCGACATCCTGATCCAGACGCTAGAGTGAATGAGATCTCTGAACCACACCAGTCCGATATCGAAGACCGGATCAGCTTCTACAGCTTTGGTTATGCACCTGAAGACGAGCATCTGACCAGAGAAGAAGAGGTCCAGTTACTGTCTTTCGACATCGATATGGCCGAGACGCTGATACCTCGCTTACAGCGATGGCAGAGCCTTCTATGCGGCTCGTAGACTGAAGCTGTGGAAGATAAGACGAGGCGCTGCCGCCCTGAACACTCCGACCGAAGCTGGAGACCAAGAGACTCGTTGATAATGAAAGGGCGAAGCTTGGCCACTTTGCCAGAATGGTTCCAGTTTGAGCGCCGTATAGCCTCCTCGTACTTCTAGGACAATTTAGACTAGTCAATAGCCCCTCAAACAAAGGTCATTGTCCATTGGTTCTCGTCCTCTTTCACTTTGTACGTGCGCACGCTTTGTTTGACCAGCCCCACCTTTTTGACCTGAAGCTGTTGTCGCTATCTTTGGCGCACAATTCATAACACTCGCCGCAGAGATATTCTATGACCCACGGCTGATCTAGATACTCCCGCATCTTTCGCGGTCGCTCTTCTACGCAACAGCTACGACAATCGAATTGCCGACTCCAGCGCCGCCAACGCGTATTCAGATCCAGGTATGTCGATCTGCCTTGACACCTCGCAATTGCATGACCACTAACATGGCGCTGCTAGTACTGTTGATCTACATCGAGCGCGCCGCCTCTGAGATCGCTCGACATCTCGACAGCACCATGGCGACTTCATACGAAGAGGATACCCCGGTCTTAGCGGAAATACTAATGGAGATCGCGCGGAATTGGTCTGTCGAAGAGGCACATCAAGTGTTTCCGTATCACTTGCAGCCACTGGACTGGGATGATACTTTTTGCTGGGACGAAGCAATCGCCAGCGCCTTGCTGGAGGTGTCGCGATACAGAAAAGACTATGTCGCAGTGTTCGAAGATATTACCGAGAATGCACGATGGCGTGTAGGCAATTCATTCGAGGAACCGCAGCATTTCCTGCTCGAAGACGTACTGTTGCTGGTTAAGAATGCCCATGAACAAGAAGCTGCCGGCCACATTTACCGCCGTGCCGATGCGATGCAAGGCTCATACAAGGAGGATACGCTAGAGCACCTCGAAACAACCTGGAGAATTGAGGCTATCGACATCTTTCCAGAAGATATCAGGCCACGGGGCGGAGAGAGCGTAGATGACTGGTTTCATGAGTTCATTCCAATCTTGAGCGCCATGTCCAAGGTTGCTTTAGACATCGGGGAGGTACAACGAGAAATAAGAGTTGCGATCGAGAACAGAAAGAGGCACCCGAAAGGTATTGGCAGACCTAAGAAGCAAGATCAGGTCGATAATATCGGCATTGTTCGCCTGGACGATGTAAAGGACGCACATATCGCCCTGATAGAAGCTCATAGGATGTACAACATCAGACCGGACGTTTCCCCGAACGAACGTGGTCGAGCTGAAGAATCTGGCAGAGAGCTGGGCGGAGAAAAGGCCCCAGAGTATATTCCAGAGATGCCGCGAGCAATGGCTACGGGACGTCATCTCTCGGACAATGACGACGAGCCGGTCAATGGCTCTCCGGTGCCATCTCAGCAATCGTTAGACATCGACGATTATCATCAGCAAACTCCTACACCGCAACAGAGAGAACCCATCGGCAGATTACCCGCTCCAGGACTGTATGCAGGTAGCATGAACTTCAGGTTCGACGGGCTACCGGGGCCACCTTGGCGTCCCCTGATGCCGCGGGATAGGGCACAAGATGCTTTACCCCACGAACCAGCAAGGCAAGCAGAAGTCGATGAAAGGCCGCCAGCACAAGTTAGTCCAGCTGCGTCACAAGAGCGTAGACCTCGTACCCCGGTCGAGCGCCCGACCCGTCAACATGAGCCGTCCCGCTCGCCTCATCCGAGCGATGGCCAGAGAGAGTCTCGCAGGTCTCGCAGCGGCACGCCGCCATGGGAGCGTCGTCGACGGGAGCGGCGTCTCCGTCGGAGAAGAGAAGCATCTGAAGAATCCTCAGACGACAATGAAAGACGGCACCGCGCTAAGCGAAAGCGGGATATTGAAGACATCGGAGAGCGCATTGACTCCCTCAACTTTGGCTACGACTTCGCGCCTCAAACGCCAGAAGAACAGCTCATGAAGTACGAGATAGAAGCTGAAAGTGCCCGATTCCATGCGAAGCGCTTCAAGCTTAGAGAAGAGTGTCTCTTCGCAGAGGGTAGAGCGAGGATTGCGCAGCGCATGGCGGATCTTCAGGAGTCCCGGATCAGGGGAGCCCAGAGAGGAGTTGCCGCCGACGGAGATCGTTTGTAGAATGTAAAGTAGGTTTTGAGGTGTCCTGCTCGCCTTCAGCGAGTTCACGGGAGACGGATAGGTGGTTTCAGTCGACGCGAAGTCGCCGGGCTGGAGAATTGGCCGTCGTGTGCCGTTAGGAATTAGCGCTGTAGTCAGCTTAATAATGTATAACTGAATGAAATAGCTATAGCTACTCCATTGTCGTCGCGGAAGTTGTGTGAGAGTTCTCGCTGGAGTTCCTTGAATGGGATGTAGGATGGAAGGTGGCAAAACTCAGGATCTTCCCGGGCGCCGATACGAGGCCCCCTCTACGTCGCACGTGCGACAACAACCAATCTCATATCCATCACGACGTCGGTCTCATCTCGAAGCTGTAGTGATAGCCTTTCTTCTCATGTTTGCGAAACTCAGTGAATATGAATAATCGCATCGCCTCTAAAGGGCAGGCAGCTGTATCGCGGCAATATCCAGCGCGAGGCGGGGAAGGGCCGAGTGACCTAAAGCGGCAACGTTATGCGGCTCCGCACCTCACATCCACAATACCATCAGTATTACCTGCGGTCGCACCACACAATGGGGCGGTTCTTTCTTGATCGGTTGCGCAGTCCCGTGAGGGGGTGATAGTCTCGATGTGGAACGCCAGACCCGTATATAGTGTGCGCCTAGGTACCTGAGTATCTGCGACTTTGCATACCCTCCAGATAACCTCAAACAACCACTTCTTCTTCCAAGTAAATCGTCAGTGTATTAGTTTTAAAAATGCCGTCCATCCACCCCGCCATCGACAACGGTATCAAGAAGGGCGATCCCAACTTCTCTGGCGGCAAGCTCTACTGTCATTGCCCCACCAAGAAGGTCGAAGTTACCCTCGCTGGCAACGTCGCGCACAACCACGCCTGCGGCTGCTCGAAATGCTGGAAGCCAAAGGGCGCTCTTTTCTCCGTTGTTGGCGTTATCCCTAAAGACAACGTCTCCGTGACTGCCAACGGCGACAAGCTGCACATCATCGACGAATCAGCGGCCATCCAGCGCAATGCCTGCAAGCAATGCGGCGTCCACCTCTTCGGTCGCATCGTCGTCGACCACCCATTTAAGGGCCTGGACTTCGTCCACGTTGAACTCAGTGACAAGAAGGGATGGCAAGAGCCGCAGTTCGCCGCCTTCGTCAGCAGCATCATCGAGCAGGGTTTCAATCCGAAGGAGATGGACGCCGTACGCGAGAAGTTCAGGAAGGAGGGCCTGCAGACATATGATGTGCTCAGCCCAGCGTTGATGGATCTCATTGCTACCTACACGGCGCAAAAGAGCGGGAAGCTGTCTTCGAAGTTGTAGGGTTGGGTTGCATGGTTCGGCGTTCCTGGTGTGGTCGGCGGGGATGATGTATTAGTAGATGACTAGGAAGACTTAGAGCGAGGCTTGGTCTCATAGATGTTCAAGAAAATCGTGCACCTAGAGGACTAGCGAGTGCGGGATGTGTGGTGTTATATTGCATGCGACTGAGCACCGTGATCGCGCGCTAAACCTCTCCATAGCACGAGACACGTATTGCCGATTATGGCCATAATATCAGGTGAAGACAGTTTAAATGATCGAGCTTCAAAGCATTAAGAGATTCATTATCTATAGGGTATCTACAAAGCCGCACACTCCTGCTGCGTAAGCGCATTCGCATTAATAAACTCCACCTTCGACTCCCCAACCTCAATATCAAACGTAGAATCCAGTCCCCTCTCACTCAGAACCGTCGTCGCAGTGTAGTACACGTACTCCGCAGTCTCCTTGCCCGCGGGCTTCATCTCAACAATCGTTGGCGTAAGACGAGGAATAACAAGACCCTGGACTTTGGTCTTCTTCGAGACGTTCAGCTGTGGTGTAGTACCGGTCTGGAGGAGTGCCTTGGAAACGGCTGCGGTGATGGTCATCTTCCATTCGCCTGTTGTGGTGTCCTTGGCTGTGCATGACTGCGCTTCTTGGTAGAGGACATCGGGGTTGATGGGGTAGCTGCCTGTGCCGCCGTTGTCGTAGGTATCGTCGTTGACGCGGATGGTGAAGGCGTCGAAGGCATCGGTGGCGTTGAGTGTCTGGGTGAATTCGAACCACTGGAATCTCTCGTCTAGGTATCCGGAGGACGTTCCTAACTTGTAGGTAGCGCGATTGGCGACGATCTCGGCGGTCGCACTGCCATTGCGCGAGACTGGAATGAGAGAAGCTGTGAGGGTGTTGCCATCGCGGCCGGTGACTGGTGTGATTCGGACACGGAGACGTCCTGTTAACTCGACTGCTCCGTCCTTGAGTTGGTATGTTGTGATGTAAGGACGGATGTCTGCTGGCTCCATGGGCTCCGTTAGTGTGACATCTCCTGGCACGAGGTGAATCAGTTTCTCGAATGCAGCTTCACACTGCGACTTGAAGTAGGCCTTGTCTGCAAGCTTGCGCATAGTTGCGTTGTCGTCGGCAAGGAAGATGCGCTTGTCGGAGTTCAAAGTGTTGTTGGCGTTGACGACCAGAGGGTTTGCCGTCGAGTTGTTGAGGTACTCCGTTACCACAGCGTTGTCCATCACTCCGCTGGTGGTATCGAAAGTCGCCTTGTTCTCGGCGGTAACGGGACCGGAGACGATCTCCGGGTGATCGACTGAGTGAACACCACCAATGCTGTGACCACAAGCAATCAAAGTGATCATCTCCTTCTCTGTCAAACTGGCAGTTTCAAATCTCTTCCTTGTGGTGTCGAGGTCGGTGTGCGCTTCCGGCACGCCTTTGATGCCAGCCTCTGCCGCGTCCTTGCGGCCCAGTCGTAGAGGCACGCGCATGTCAGCGCAACGAGCCACAGACATGACCAATGACAAGGCCAAAACGTCGGCTGCAGAGCTTCGGATGTTGACTGAACTGGCCATATCGGATAAGGTGTTGTTCAACGCGGCACCGAGATTTTCTGGTCTGTCGAGTTCGTATTGAATCGAGGCGTCCAAGCCTCCGATCCCCGTTGAGGCATCGTGGGTGACGGCGTCGTGGAAGTTCGTTCGCACCCATTCTGCGGCTTTTTGGATGCCTGGTTGGCGAGCGCCGAATGAGCAGGTCTGGACCTCTGCTGTTGTGTAAGTCTTAAGCGGAATATACTGAGGGAAACAGGTACGTACGATCTGAGAGTTCTCCGTTCCTGATGTAGCCGGATTGCAAATACAAGAGGTCGTCGAGCTGGTCGTACTTGCTGGGCCAGACGTATGCTTGACAACTCGGCGCAAGCAGCGCGAGGCTGATTAGTTGGTTTCTCCTCATGATTGATATGTTTGGATGTTCTAACGAAGGACTAAACGAATGTCGAATGATGATGGTGAAGACCGTTGCGCCGAGCAGCGGTATATAAGGCTTCTAGAATGCACAATGCTATTAAAGGGTATCTGTACGGAGCTTCTTAAACGGCGCATGATCAATGCGCATACGGGAAAGGCTGCCATAGTGCCCGTTGCAGCGACTAAGTTCGTGTTCAGGATACGATGTAGGATGGAGCATGGAAGGTGTGGGGTTGCGGTTACTCTCACCGAGAATCTAAGGACAGCTTCGTCTAGAATACGATCTTAGACCGTTGCCATCTAATTTTGGCATCATGAAACCCATGCATGATTGGCATTTTCTTCTAGCCAATTGGCCCTGAAAATCTCCGGGTTGTGCACGCGGCATGCAGTGATCGGGGTTCGCCTTCTCTCGGCGGAATTGCCGACGGATGCAGACACCTGGTGATTTGGTGGAGCTCTTGACCCGTCGAGCGTACAGTCGATCCAACACCACAGCGACGACCGGAAGAGGTGGGTGTTTGCTGTTACTGCTTTCCAATCTGTTCGCGACTACGCACGAAAGCTTCATCGTGTAGTTTGCGATGCCGTCCGTTGATTAGGGTAGCGCGCGCGCCTGACCTGCGAAAAGGGGCATCGTCTTATACCGAGGCATGATAGCTAGCAAGGCTATGCATGCGACGTCCCCATTATTCTCTGCTTTTGCTTATCGTACGAGGAGCGCACTAGTCCAATGTCTTGAGCGACGACAGTTCGGCTGGTGTCAAGGTGCACGCGCAATGTTGTTCCTTCCACGTTCGACAGCTTCTGGCAGGTGCAACAGCTGACAGCTGAAGCCTGACATTATGATCCCGTGTATTCGGAAGTGATAGTGATGTGGAAAGAAGAAGCGTCGCTGGTGTGCTAGTCGCCTGCAACGGTGAAAGGATGCCGGTGGTTGGACTCAAGGCACAAGGTTTGATTGAACCTGGTGGGAGCTCTGAGCGGAAAGACGCCAGGGTTTGGCTTGGCGGAGTAAGCTGAGTAAGCAAATCTCTGCTTCTCCCACCAGGTCTGTCATCTGCCCACAATGAAGAGACAAAAATGATTGAATGACTGAAACATTGCTGTATTTGTCTGTATCCATTCACAGTCGATTGTTTCAACTTCCACTCGATTCCGAGGCCTCGTCCTTGTACTGAAGGTGTGAAGGGCGCAAAGAGCTCGCCTGACAGCAAGCCAGATTGGACATCGATAAAACATTCATGATTCACTGTTTAGAGACAAACATCAAACAAGCTTTTCACTCATGTACAAGCTGTCCGTACAAATGATGTACATCGTCCGACCTGACGTCTCACCACCAAACTGGATGGGTGTAGAACTCAGCTACCGGTCCTTATAAGATTTACCATGAATATATCATATATATTGGCCTTCGACTGCTACACTGATCACCCGGGTCGAATACATGGCATCGGATACGCCTTATACTAAGTCTTCCAGAAAAGCGTAAGTGGCATGACATCCAGTCCCTCGATATATCTAGGCTATCGCTTTCACCGGTGGGAGCGCGAGGTAAACCGCAGGCGATTCGATTTGGGTGAAAGTCGAGATGGGAGCTTCTGTGTAGTCACTCCTCATTTTGACGGATCGATGGCGACCTTGTTCAGTCACACGTCTCTCCCCGACACGATATAAATCCGCCAGCTCCTATAAAATCGCAGTTTCTCTACACCAACCGGCGACTCTCTACGATTCAAGCAAGGTATTACAACCGCAACCAAGACCATCGCAAGACCCTCTCCATCGACATCAACCATGCAGATCCCATCCGACGCGCAACGTCCACGGTCTCCGACCCCCGAACCAGTCATCAACGACGTGATCAAGGAGATCTGCAGTAGATGGGGCATACGTGAAGTGCACCAAGCACTTCCGAATAGCCTCAGCTATAAGCACACCACTGACATCGAGATTTGGGGCGAAGAATTCCTGGTCCTCCTTCTAGATCTAGCAAGCCTCACGGAAGGAAAGCTGGACGAGGTCCAGAAAAAGATCCAAGAGCGTATTGAAAGTGGTCGGAACACGAAACTCAGTCGCGACACATGCACGACGCGAGCAGATATCCTGGCGCTGATCAGGCACTATGATCAGGAAGACCCCGATGCTGATGACGACTACATGCCTCCCGTGCCGAAGAAGGAACGTCGTTATAACAGGTAGGCTCAGAAGCGAGTCCGATTTGACTGGGATCCTTACCTGTCATCTTGGCTTCGGTCGTTTGATTGCCATGGGGTTCGAGCAGGCGTTCGTCATGCCAGTCAACGCCGCGCCCCTCCCAAGATAAAAGAGACAAGTCCCTCACGCAACAGCAATGGGCTGATGATAGTACGGATTGAGCCTAAGAAAGGCTTACTGATGTTGAAAAGACAGAAAAGAAGACTGAGATACCCAGTCAAGAAAAAAATAGAAAAACAATGTACCAGAGTGAACCTGCAACGTGACGTAAAGTGACCCAAGCTCTTTCTTTTAGCAACCTCGTAGAGTATCGATGTTTGCCTGATATCGTGTGTCCGCTGGAAAGTAGCGCTCTATCAATCGTGTTGATGTCACCGCGATAAATAGAAGCCGAGTATGGCTATCCTGCCACCTTCGCGCTCAACAACTATGAAAGTGCCTAATGAGATGTGAGTAGATTGTAGGTAACAGGATACCAGACAACCGTCCGGGGTGTACGAGTTGTCTGACCGCCAGGCCCGCGCGTCGGATCATTGTTGCGTGCTCGAGAACGGACTGCGAGGTCGCCGGACCAAACGCGGTGCGTACCAAGATGCGGTTCCCCTAAGTCGATAAGGGCAAAGGTTGGAAAAGTCGAGGTGCAGATGTGGGGTAGTTTTGGAGATCATGAGCTAGCAGCGCCAAGGACCTCGGCTCAGATCCTCAGAACCAGCCGCCCCTCAACAATCACAGGCAAGCGGCACACCATCGTCATCGTGTTATAAGTCCCTAGTCCCTAGTCCCGCAATGGAGCTCTCTTCATCTCTGTCGACACTGCCATGGTGGACCTCACGCAACACCCCGTAAAGGCCATCTATGGGCTTGGCGCTCTGGGCTTCGAGCTCGTGCGCTTCCCTATCATCCTCATCAAGTTCCTGGTTCTTGGTCGCCAGCATCCCAGCTGGACTCTTCGCCAGGCTATCACCGTACATGCTTTCTTCTCTGGTCTATGGCACGTGACAAAGGTGCAGGTGGCTACGCCGCTACCCCTGACACCGGAGCAAGAGAAAGAGCGCTTTGTAGTCATCAAGCCGGCGAAGAATGATGCGTACAAGGGGCCATTGAGAAGCAATAAGGATGTCGTGCCTGTGGAAATTGGTGCCACGTGGTTTCCTGCGCCGTTGACCACGGGCAGCGATAAGAACACCAAAGTCGTTCTCCACATACACGGCGGAGCTTTTGTCACGGGTGAGCATGCGGTTTCCACTATTCAGATGCGTCCATGATTAACTCTTTGTAGGGGATGGACGAACAGCAGCCAGCGGACCCATGGCAAAGAAACTTCTCAAACACACACAAGCCACGCACGTCTTCTGCCCGCAATACCGCCTCTCCACCCTGCCCGTCTCGAAGACATCGAACCCGTTCCCAGCCGCCCTCCAAGACAGCCTGACATCATACCTATACCTGCTGAACGACCTCAAGATCTCTCCCAAGAACATCATACTCTCCGGAGACTCAGCAGGCGGCAACCTCGCCATCGCGCTCCTCCGCTACATCACCGATTACGGCTCCGAGCTCAGCCTACCCGCTCCCTCATCCGCGCTATTCTGGTCACCGTGGACCAACCCCGCCGATACCTCCGGCTCCTACGTCCATGACAACCGCAACTACGCTACAGACTACATCTCCCCACCCTTCACGGCGTGGGGCACAACCGCGTATGCGGGCGAGGGTGGGGACAAGGTGCTGTCGCAGCCTTATGTTTCGCAGAAGAACAGGACGTTCAAGACTGAGGTGCCGATGTTTGTGAACACGGGTAGTGGTGAGGTGCTATACTTTGATATTGTGGAGTGGGCGGAGAAGATGAAGGAGGCGGGTAATGATCTGCAGTTGGATATTGAGGAGAATGTCCCACATGATATACTTCTTCTTGGTCATCTTCTAGGGTTTAACCAGGAGGCTGTGAATATGGCTAAGCGGGCGGGTGAGTGGCTGAGGGGGAGAGTATAGAAAGCCGACACTTACATAGTGACGGGGACATGAAGCTGGCGCGTCGCAATCTTGCGTGTGCAGTGCGCATAGCATCAACAACGCTCTCCAAATGAAGACGTGCGCAGTTTGTTCTTTCTTGCATACGTATTGAATCCAGAACTTCCTGTTGCATGCTGTCGATAAACACTGGTTGTTGGCAATCGAGATCATTGAAGCCCTGTGCTTACTGTTTACGGTGTGCCTTACCGTTGTGGTGGCAGGCGCACCTAGACATCGCCAAGCTTCAGAGCTCGTACCTTCCAATCATCGCCAGCCCAAACTGCCACACTTCACCGGAATGACGTTGCATGCAAGCACCACTCTGCCTTGTCGAGATTTCCCCAGCATGTCGCACCACCGCTGTCGTCGTCCCGTCGAATCATGGGTCGCCACAAAGCAGCATAGCCTCCAGCTTCCAGCCTGGTTGCGATGGGACCTGGAGCGGCTGTGCAGCTGCACCGCTTCTATCTATGAGATGAAGGTTGGCCGCTTCCCGCTCGGCCACGCCTTCGCGACCCACCAAGGAAGACCACACTTAGTATGGCAGAAGGTCTCGCCGCCATTGGTCTCGCCGGAAACATCATCCAGTTCATCTCATTCAGTTTTGTGCTGCTGTCAAAATCCAGGGAACTACATCAGTCCGCATCAGGCGCTTTGAATGAGCATGTCGACCTTACTATCGTATCCCAGGACATCAGTGCTCTCAGTACTAGAATAACTTCAAACGCAGCCTCGCCATCGCGACTTTGCGACATCGCCAAACGCTGCAACATTATTGCTGAGGAACTTCTGGATGCAGTTTCTGAACTGCAGCACAAGCAGAATGGGACGCGATCTGCAACAGCAACAACGAGGTGGCAGAGCTTTCGGAAAGCTCTGAAGTCAGTATGGGGCAAGGCGCATATCGAGGAACTGCAAGCAAGGCTGGAACTCCTGAGAAATCAGGTAACCATGCATCTGGTCTCCAACACGAAGTAATGTCTCTTCACGGTGTTTCAAATGCGCTTACATTAACTACTATGCATCTAGTGACAACCAGATCCAGCTCATCGACCTTTTGGAAGACTGGAAAAAGAAAAATGTGCAGACAGGCTATGGTATGACATCACAAATACAAGCTTTGGACAGCCAGCTCCAAGCCACCCAGCAGCGCATCTCGGACCTCCACGGTGATACTTTCTGGAAGAAACTCCATGATCGATTCTCTCAACTGTCTTCGGAGGTTCATCGGGCATCTCAGTGTCATATGATCATTGCGAGCCTTCGCTATGAGTGTATGCATATACGACAAAGCGCCATCAGAGATGCCCACCAAAGGACCTTTGCCTGGATGTATAATGACAGTGTTCCCGATACTCGTGTTTCGAACTCGAACATTCGGTTCGCACACTGGCTGCAAAACGGCAGTGGGATTTACTGGGTTACAGGAAAGCCAGGTGAGTTCTAGCTGTATTCCGCAAACCTAGGAGCCAGCTGAATGCTACGTCAGGTTCCGGAAAATCGACATTGATGAAACATCTCTACGAGCATACCGAGACGATACGAAATCTTCGAGTTTGGTCTGGAAACGCTCCGTTGGCTAGAGCGTGCTTCTACTTTTGGTCGCCGGGTCAACAGATGCAAAAGTCTCTAGAGGGACTGCTACAAACCCTCCTTTATCATGTACTCTATGCTTGTCCGGAGTTGGCCCCAACAATATGTCCGGAAAGGTGGAACGCGGAACCTCAGCCTCACAATTTTTCCTTGCCAAAACCGTGGAATCTCTCCGAGCTACAAAGGGCGTTTGTCTTGTTTCGAGCTCAGTCTACTGTCACTACCCGATTCTACTTCCAAGTAGACGGTCTTGACGAGTATTACGGAGACAGCTGGGATGTGATCGAAATACTTAAAGACCTGTCCAGTACTCCGAACGTCAGACTATGCCTCTCCAGTAGGCCTTGGAACTGTTTTCAAGATTCCTTCGGAAAGGCCAGCACTAATGTGCTTCGACTGCATGACTTTACAAGACCAGACATCGAACTATTCGCACGGGAGAATCTGCTATCGTACGATCACGCCATGGATCTTGAACCAAGTCTCTTCGATGATCTCATTCATGATATTGGAGAACGAGCGCAGGGGGTGTTTCTTTGGGTACGTCTCGTTGTCAAGTCGCTCCGCAACGGCATCATCAACGAGGACCCTGTGTCCCTACTTCAAGAGCGGTTGCGCGCGATACCTTCGGACTTAGAAGAGTTCTTCGAGCACATACTGGGGTCTGTCGAAAGAATCTATCGGAGCCGGATGGCCAGTACATTCCTCGCCGCTATGCGGAGCCCTCATCAGCTGGAATTGATACATTACTACTTCCTGGAACAAGGCAACCCAACTTTCGGCTTCGAGATGCCCAGCATGAGATGGCGACATTCCTCGATACAGAAGCGTGCCGCTCAGACCGAGAGACGACTCAACGGTCGATTCAAAGGCCTTCTGGAGGCAGCTTCGACGACTGACATCTCTGCGCAGACCAAGGTGGACTTCCTACATCGTACGTTGAATGATTTCCTCGCTACAAAGCGCATGAGGGAGAAACTTGGGTTCTGGGCGTCAAATGAACTCAATGTCTTTACTGGCATAAGTAAAGCTCTGATTGCCGAATCAAAGTTCATCGAGCGAAGTTCATGTCCCTCTAGCCTGAAGCTTGCCGTGGAACTAGCTAGCCAAGGCGCTGTCGAAACAGGCAATACGGCTGACTGCTTCGAAGTTATCGACCAGGCAGAGCTAGAGGAGGAGCGCATACGGCCATACCACACAACGTGCGGTCTAAATTGTGACATCATCCGGTTTGCAGCTTCCATTGGCTATGTGGAGTATCTGAAATATCGAGTGCAGAGGGATGGCAGTCTTTTGGACCTCAATCGTATACTCAAACATGCTATAGCCTGCCCCGTCAGTTTCGATGACACATACGAGCTGCATCTACCCTCCTCTATTGAACGCCGCCGTACAATCGATCACTACAACGACCGGTCTCCTCCATCGGTTTCGAGTTTAGTTGGAATTGCTATCATACCTTCATTGATAAAGCAGCTGTTTGAAATTGGTGTCGACCCTAACTCTGTCGTCGATGGTGCATCCAGTTGGATGACTTTCGCAGACGGTTTGATAAGATCATTGGACGGCAAACAAAAAGACCGATACTGGGCTGTTTTAGAAATGTTTCTTGAACAGGGTGTGGATGTGAACATGGCGACAGGCAGCTGGATCGGCATGCTGACTCGTATAGATGCCACATTGGAGGATAACCTGCGCACCACTTTGCGATACTTCAAGCGCCTGTTTGACCGTGGCTTGAATCCGAACGTCGTCTTGCGAGACACCACACTTACCACAGTCTTCTTACGCACGCTGGCAAGTGACTCTCTGCATCTCCCAATCGCTTCGCAGCGCATCAAACACGAAATACTGCGAGAGTTCCTCCAACACGGCGCAGACATCTCCGTCGTATACCTCGACAGAACCCCTGATGGATGGCTTAATTGTGTATGTCGCGAATTAGCAACTCGCCGATCCGCGTGGAACGATTTGCTCTTTCCGCGTCTCGAACAATACCGCATCTTACTCGAACATGCATTGGATCCCAATGTGACCGTACAAGGTTATCGCACGTTATGGGGCGGTCTTGTCGAAGCCATGCGTAATGGTGTCCAGCAACGCATACACGACGTGGGATCCTGCCAACCTGTCCGCGATATGCTCCATATGTCTTTGCAGTATGGTGCGGATCCCCATCTGTTTGAGCTTCAACAGCTCAAGATAGAAGCTCCAGTCGTTGTCTCATTCCCTCATAACGACGTAGACCGAGCGACTAACAGGAGAGTTGATCACAGGATAGCCCAGATCAAGCTGCAACCTTTTGTCCGACCACGAGATTTCGATCTTCCGAAGATAAGAGATCCCGTGCATTCGAACAGCCCATTCTCTTCTGCTGCACAACAAGCGAGGCAGGTCGTGAAACGCGATCATAGGCAGGTGTCTCACGGCGGTCGGGGCTCGGATCCGAAACGTGTTCGGTTTAACTAGAACGCGGATATCAATTCAACTTGTTGTCTTTCATGAATCTGGTTATTGTCGCTATAGCAGTGATGGCGATTGATGATGTGGAGTTGTCAGCATCGATAGTAGTGTACTAGCTAGAATGCTGATCTATCTTCGCAAATTATCCATTGGTAACCGATTGCCGGTGCAAGTCTTCAGGCCGTCGCTGGAGCTCGTGTTAGTCATTTGGCAAGGGGTGTCCTTTCTGGATATAGTCCAGACATGACGTCACATCCTTGTTAGAATATCGACACGGCACAGCCTTCACAATTGCCACCACAATCACGATTACTTTCTTCTAGTCAGGACTCTTTCGGCGTCGTTTTCAACTACGTGCTCACTTTCTTTAGTCGTACACATTTGTCTTTCGAGTATTGACCCGGCCTGCGTTGTACATACCACGAAGCGCGCGCTCGCCATGACAAGCAAAGCCACACCTAGTAACGGCCTATCCCTCCGGTTTGAGGCAAAGGAGCTAGACATCAACGACAAGTTCCAGTTGAACCGCAAACAACGTCTTAGCCTTGGTCACCTCACATTTACAACTCCAGAGACAGAACGCTCGATAACCCTATTTTGCAATGGTCTTGCTGTCGCTGGAAGGGGGCGAAACACTGTCCTACAGGCATTAAGGTCTGGACTGTTCGAACTCGTGCAATCTGGCAGGGAAGATGCAGGTGTGATCAAGCTGCCATCTTTTACGTCATCTCGGAAAGGCCGGTACAAGATACCCTCTACGGCATTTCCACAGTATCGGGAAGTATCGATTAGTGTGTTGACTGAAACAACGCATGTTGTGTGGAAAGAGATCTTGCAACCCGGGCGTACATATGGTTTACGGTTGTCTGAGAAAGCTGGCGATGTGTTCGCATGTTATACGGATGAGCTCGATGGCAATCCCGAAAGCCTCACATCAGCGCAGAAGCTGCCCGTTCATCGTGAGGGAGGTGACACTTACTACTTCACCGTCCACGGCGACCCGGCGCCTCCAAGACTCTTCGCCAGGCTGGAGCTGCCCAGCAAAGCTTATCTCAATGGTCCAACCCCCTTCACCCTCGTCATCGAATACACAACCAATAGCGTCGAGCCCCTGGTGTTCGATAAATCACGCTCTCCACTTTCAGTCACCAATTTCTGCTCCGGATTTGATCTGCACTGCATCGACCAACTGATTGATTGTCAGGATAATGCCACCGGGGAGAAGGTTGAATGGGGTGCCGTTTTCGTCTGTTGGGATGGCGACCCTCATCCAAATTTCCCCGACGATGATGATTTCGTGGAGATCTCGGCGGAGAAGCCGTGGCGATTTGAATGCACATTAGAGCAGCTAGGGAACGAAAAGGAGTATGTGCGCAGTATGGAAGGGCTGAAGGCTGGTCGCACTTATAAGGCCCGGGTTAATGGGCCTGGGGGCTTTAGCCGGTGGCAGTATGGGAAGAAGGAGGAGTTGCTGGCTGGAACGCGAGAAGAGAAGATGAAGAGGTGGGAGGTAGATATGGAGAGGTTGGGGTGTTTGGACGTGGAAAGGATTGAGGAGGACGTATATTTCGAGACTGTTGCATGAGTAAGCGGTCAGTATCCTTGCGACATGCGATGATGGTTTGGAACGTCAAGGTTGAAAATCGTAATGATTTGCTTACTTCAAAGCTTACGCCTTCAGGCTATCAGCATACTCCCTATATATCTGCTCGCAACTCTCATCAAACAACAGCCCCATCCTCGTCGCATTTCCAAACTCCGCAGTCTGCGGCCAACTATCCAGTAGCCTCTTCGCTTCCTCATCCACCTCTTCCCTCAACAGGCTCAGCTTCTCCTTCCCAACTACCGCCTCGAACGCTGCGTACATGTCTCCAAGCGTGACACTGATACCTGGCATGTAGACCGCGCGGATATGCGAGGGCATGGCATCCGAGGGTGCCTTCATAACGCGAACAAAGTTCTCGATCATGACACGTGGTGAGCAGATCATCTGGCGTGCTGAACGGTCGCTAATGGGGACGATGCATTCGAGCCCGGCTAGTGGCTCGCGGAGTAGGCCGCTCAGGAATGCTGCTGCTGATCGCGAAGGCGCGCCTGGACGGACGACGACGGTCGGGAGGCGCACGGAGAAAGCATCGATTAGACCACGGCGGTTGAGATCGTCGATGTGCTTCTCCATTATGGCCTTGTGGGTACCGTAGACGCCTATTGGTGTCGCGGGAGTGTCATCTGTAATCGGGCCCGTTGCCGTGTAAGGCGGTCCGTAAACAGCCTGGGTAGAAGCGTAAACAATGCGGGGCTTGGTAGATTGTTGAAGTTTTGAGATGGATGTAAGAACAGAAAGCGTGGCGTCTAGATTGACTTTGGTAGAAAGCGCGGGGTTCTCTTCGCAGCCGACGGACATTATGCCGTGGAAGAGGAAGATGGCTGACCATTGCGGGCGCATGGAAAGGAGTTTGTCGATGTCTGATTGCGAGGTCAGGTCTCCAGCTGTGAGCTCTAGGTTGGATGCAGAGTCTGGGATGCCGGCTGGCCGTTGGGGTGTGCGGAGGTCGGTTAGGACGATGTTGTTTGACGAATCTTTTGCCAGCTTGGCGGCGAGCATAGGGCCTAGGAAGCCGGCGCCGCCGGTGATGAGGACGTTGTTCGACATGTCTGGTGGTCTGCTCTTCAAAACTCTTGGATCAGGTTTGCGGTGATCAGGACTTCAATTCTTGAGCTCACGATCTCGGATTGAGAGCTATGCAATGCAAAGAAGATACCTGGGGTATATTGCCTGCACAATGAAGAGATGGGCGATGATAATGCAATGAAGATGCGGCCAACTGAGCATATATACGTGACAGTGTTGCGGGGATCGAGGCGAGTCATGCTCGTCTCGAGGCAGACCTGCTCGCTACGAGCCACAACTCAGATGCGCTAGCCCCAGAGCCTCCGGGAGCCGCATCTTTAGCCTGGGGAACCCCACATAGTGGTCTTTTACGGCCGTTCAGCCATATACAAACAGGATGCCGGCGGTTTAGAAGTGGCTCTGTGGATGGCCGCTGGAATATCCCCACTGTGGTATGTCTTTGCCAGATTTTTGCCCATGTGCTACTCATTAGCGGCGCTCTGCAGGGTTTGACGCGCTCGCGGAAGAATTCGTTGTGTGGAAGCTTGACCCCTCTCGTTCTTTCGACGATGATGGATTACCTGTTGGTATGAACGTTAAGATGACTACTGATACGAACTACTCTGTCGCAGCAACATCAAATCAATACGGCATACATTGCGCTCACGAGAAGAAGTCAATGACAAGCGCATTGAACATCTCCGGCTTCTCCCAATAACACCAATGACCACCCCAGTCCACCGTCACTCCCTTCGCGAGTCCTTCCTTTTCGCCTCCATTCACCAGCTGCACCACCTTGAGCGGTCCCGCAGCCGGAAAACATCCACTTCGGCTACTTGCTACTACCAGCACCTTGGTCTCACTACCGCTCTCTGGTCCAAAAGCATGAGCGATGGGATGTCGCCAGTCATTCGCCGTATGATCAGCCATTAGCTTCCCATACCACCACGCATCGCCCTTTAGAGCTTCAGCCAGGAAGAACGCTTCGTCATCTTCCCACTGTGACGAATCCGACTGAGGGTCTCGGGGTCGCGGATGAGATCTGTAGCCCAAGCACGCTGCGATGGTACCAAGGTGCGCCTCCTTCGGGTTCGCAATGAGTGTCTTTTGCATCGCGTTCAGCGCTTCTAGATTATTGCATCCCAGATTGCCGAACTCAGGACCCCAATCCTCAAGATAGTTCTGCAGCGGAGCTTGGTCCACGAAAACCATGTGCGAGAATGCGCCAGTCGTGAACAATTCGCTGTAGCTCCATAAGATTGCTGCACCCAGGCTTGCGCCTATTGCTTTGATGGTACCGTCGCGGAAACCGAAGAATTCGATCAAGTTCTTGAGATCCATCGCCAGGCGTGCCACGTTGTAACCGGCTTTTGGTTTACCGGAGTCGCCGTGGCCGCGCAGATCGGGAATGATGACATGGTGAGCTTTTGCGAGTGCGGCAACATTACGCTTGAAGACTGCGCCCGAACCCGTGAAGCCGTGCAGCTAGCGACCAATGTCAGATCTGGTGGCGGTGCGCGCTCGATGGCGGGGAGCTCACCAAGATCAAGGGAGCGGCACCGGAAGAGCCATATGTCTCGTAGTGCAGATGAATACCATCGTTGGCTGTTATATCCGGCATTTCGGAAGGTCGATACAGCGGGGTGGGTCAATAAGATGAAGGTGTGCATGGAGCGTAGGAAGTGTTCGGGATGCTTAGTAAGCGCGTTCCTGTCGCAATGAAGTTTAGCGTCCGAAAGGCTTGTCGCCGCGCGTCATCACAACACTCCAACGCCCACCCACAACCATCGCGGTCTACAATCTTCCTTGCACGTCCACCTGTCTTCGTAGCGACTGCTTATTATTTCATCTCTATGCTCTGAGACGGCTCAGCGCTGGCGATCCGGCCCCATCTATATCACATTCCGTGACACTCGCACGGCAGGGAAGTTTACCGTACCTATGAAGACATCGTTCCTGTACCCGCATGATGTTTCCCTCCAAACTACCTTTCCGTAAACGCATCCAAGTCTGCTCATTCAAAGTAATCTCGAAGCATTCATACTCGCTCATGCTCACGTCTGCACTCAACAACACATAGTTTGGCAGCATCCGTCCTTTAACACGGGGACGCAGATACCCTATGGATCAGAAGCGGCTGCATTCTTTACTTTCAATCGAGACGAATCGAGCCTGGTCGATCCTGGCTTCCAACGATGAATTTGAAGACAGAAGCTACCATACCCGGCTCCCTTACTGACAAGAGTGCAAGCCTCATCCCGATGGCCATTGGAAGTACAGCAAACCTGCGTGACCGGTGCGCTTAAGCTTGCAGCGCCCTAGCCGTCCTACAGACATCTCATCATACATGTCACATGATATAATGATTCTCCTACATCCTCGTGCTTTGCCATCTCCACATGATTACCGAGACGTTGTGAGCAATGTGATTGTCAAACAATGCATTCTTAGTCACACCGTCATTCCTTTCACTCTTACTTTGTCTCAACGCACGGACGCCATTGTTCACACTATTACATCACTTCCACTCTCACGGCACTAGTGTCTAATACGGCGCGCGATACCCATCGTAGTCGATACCTTACCGCGGCCTGCGTACGCTCAACCTGCGAGCGATCCACCCCAAGTTATCTTACCCGCGCAACACCATCGCCCGCAGCCCGAAAGCACTGGACGAGGCTCGTCACATTCGTTCCACTCCCTTGTATAGTCGCCCGCTTTATTGCGTATATCCAGTTGTCTTGAACCGAAGTTATCGCTCTGATCTTGATCGCTGTACCATAGTCCGCTTATACTACTGTCATTAATATATGTAAGTCAGAACTTGCGCCGGTGATGTGAAGCGCCCCCTGACAGCACTTAGTCGCACTCTCACCGCGAACCGCGAACATGGCTCCTCCCGTGGACGCTACCGGCGACGTCGTTTGCAAGAAGAACAAGGGCCTGAAGAACCACAAGAAGGCGCAGAAAGAGAAGGCGCTGGCGAAGCGCACCGCCGCCGCCGAGAAGATTACCGCGAATAAGGTTTCGTATGCGCCGGTCGCTCCCATGGTTATCAACAAGACTGCACCTGTACAAGGAGACGTTATTGGAAATACAGGGTCGTCGCCCATGGTAAAGACTTCTACGCAGGTCATCGTGGAGTCGTCCGATCATTCTCGACATGATTCGGCTACTGACGAGACGGTCCTCACCAACCTCGTCGCTCTTACTGGATCGCACACTACCAGCGGTACCAAGACCGCTCCGCCGCAACCGCACCTCTGCACACATTTGCCCGTGGTTGTACTCGAAGACGTCCTTACTGGCTCCAAGAACAACACCTTAACCAAGGTAGCCGGCAACTCAACCAAACTCGAACATGAGTCGAATAGTATATCTTATCCCAAGACCGCTCCTCCTTCTCCTCCAAAACTCACCACTACACAAATCAGCCTACTCAAGACTGCTCCTTCCTCTCCAAAACTCACCAACACACGAACCAGCATGCTCAACCCCACCGCCCCAGCATTCCTCTTCGGAAAGATCACAGTCGCCCAAACCCCACCCGCCGTCCAAATCACCCTCACAAAAGAAGACACCGCCCCAGGATGGCCTACCGAAAACGCGAAAGCGTATAAAAAGGCATACGGCGTTATCGCCCAGCGCAAGGCTCTAGAAGCCGCGCTGAACGAAAACATGGAGACGCCACGCCAGAGGCTGATTCGCTGCAAGTACAGGGTTTCTGTTGACGCCGAGTTCCATCCTGAGGAGCCAGTGCATGACTTGGAGTGGGCGATGGCCTTGATTGGCAAGCCAGTTCGCAAGTGTTTCGACGACAACGGCTTTGTGATCACGCCGGTTAAGACGGGCTTGACTGAAGCTGATTTGACGATTCCATCAGCTCTCGACGAGTTGTTTGCGAAAGTCAAGGCTGAAGGCATCTCCAAGATCAGCGCTCCCATCTCCACGGCTCACATATCCCCCACCCCCGGTGCTACATCAACGAAAAAACCCGTTACATCTCGTACCCTGGCGTCCGTCGAGGCTGAAATGCGTCTCGCCGCCCCAAAACGCCCTTCCCACGCCCCCTCCTTCGCAGACCCCGGTATCGTAAAGTACACCTTCCACGGCCAGGATTTCGACAACACCGGCAACCCGCTTACGGAAACTGTGAGCCAAAGGGTATTGGGCTGGCTTGAAGACCAGCCGACGGATCCACCGGAACTCTCACCGGGTTCTTCGCGGCAGCAGAGCCGAGAGGCTTCGCCGCTTGAGCCTGGGGAGGAAATCGCGCCTCTGACCTTCGATTCCAAGCCGCCTTCGTCGGAGGGAGGACAGGTTTGGCCCGCGCAGGAGAGCCTGCCCTGGGATAGCCTACAAGATGGGTATGCTTACAGATCCGGTGTCCCGGTGTACCCGTACATTGCTTCTGTCGTCCGGGTCTCTGAAGCCCTTCCCGGTTCATGCGGAGAACCAGAGTAGCTGTTGTGCGGATTTTCGTTATCTGTCAATGCGTCTGTAATATTACTGGCTGGATAGCCTTGTATATCATTTCTACGACTTAGCAACGGCGTTCATGGACTGGTAGAAATCGAACAGGTCTGGGGCATACATTGACGTTGGGTCATCTACTCCGCATCTTTTTATCTTGATGTAAGCTCCATGGTGTTCGGAACTTTTCCTTGATCGGGGTGGCTGGAATACATCTCAAGAGTTGAGTCGTCACGCTGGGCGCATGTAGCCTCGTACCGAAGCTACCAAGTAGGATATGGCGGATGTTGGTTGATAGGGTCGAGTTTCTCTTCCGAGCTTATGCGGAGAATCGCAGTGGCTTCTGTGCTTTCCTGCTTCTCTCTTATCAAGTGTTTGTATCTTTAGTGGTTGGATCGTCTCATGTCTCCCTTGTATGACTAGCGATGGCGTTCGTGGATTGCTGGAATCTGTTATTCGGAGCTGAGTATCTTCATATTGCGGTCTATTCTGTCGGTACGAGATTAGTATAATAATAATGCCTGATGTCTACATTGCCTTAGTATCTGGTATAATATTGTTCGTGGGCTTGATTTAGGCGACAAGACACCTGTTCGACTCTGCTGTGTATGAGGATGTAAGAAGCAGCGAGTATCATCCGGAGCAGCTGCCCAGGTGCCACTGAACCATGGACGTGGGGCTGGAAGGACCCATCGGGTCTAGACTGCAGGTGCGGGGAGCTGTTCCCGCACGGACTTGGGTGCCAGGGCTCCTGCAAGTAATTCGGCCAGCCGCAACGACCCCAAGACTCCTCACATCGCTACCCAACATCGCTAAATAACGTCCAACTCCATACTTCGTTCTAGATACTATTTCTAGCACTAATCGTTATTAACAATATGCTCAAGTCGAAATGGGCTACCCAGCCTGACGAGGCGGAGCAATCAGGAGCAGCGCCCGAGGTCACCGTCGCTCAACCAGAAGTAGCGCCAGCACAGGTATGCACTCCTTGCCCATGACGTCTCTCCTACCGTTGGAGCAGGCGTCTGCTTCATATACAAGACTAAACTAACCCCCGCCAGATCGACAACACATCCTACGACCCCGCCTTCGACGACCCGTCAATAGATCCATTCGCTCAGACGGCAAGCACAGACGACCTCTTCTTCGACGATGACATCACCCCTATCGCCGAGCCAGTCGTTGAGCAGAACCCCATCGAGCTGCAAGCTTCCGCCCCCGAGTTCGTTCCCGAGGAAGTACAACCGCCGACTGCACCGCAGGCGCACCTCGCACCCCATGCGCCTCGTGAGCCAAGAAACGCCGATAGAGGAGGTCGCGGCCGCGGTCGAGGAAGGGGCCGTGGACGAGGCCGCGGCGGGCACAACACCGACATTCGACTAGAAGAAAACGGCAAGAAGGCACCTGAGGCTCCGAAGGAAGCTGCGCCGACTGCGGCTGCCACTGCCGATGTCGCAGACAACTCAGCCCCGCCTTCTGCACCCACCGAGCCCAAGGAGAAGACCACACACGCCGTCCGCGGAGACAGAGGCCTGACTGGCGGCCCTGCACGCACGCGCCTGACAGAAGAGGAGCTGAATACAAAGCTAGCCAACATGCGCATTAAGAACGAAGCCCGTCAGAGCGCCCATGCTCGCGCCGAGGCCGACAAGGGCAATTTCGAGGCACGAGAGGCTGTCATGCAGAAGCAGGACATCGAGCGTAAGAAGGCTCTCGCAGAGAAGCAGAAGGCAGAGCGCCAGAGCCGCCAACAGATGATGGGCGAACGCGAGAAGAACCGCCAGCGCAAGCTCAATGCTCAAGGGGGCAGGGAGTGGGACTTTGAGAAAGAAGATGGCTTCTCTGGCACTGGAGACGAGAAGCGACGAGGCGCTGCACGTGGCGCGCATGGTGGCATCGCACCCTCGAGACCGGTCGACAACGCATACAACGGGGGCGAAGACTACCATGAACCTGCTGCACAATCTAGTCGCGGACGAGGCAGAGGTAGAGGCCGTGGCAGCAGGGGTGGCCGTGGCGACTACCGAGGCTCTGACGAACGACCGGCAAACGCTCGGGAAAAGCGCGATAACGTCCCGCCTTCAGCATCAGACTTCCCAGAACTACCCTCTACCAAGGGCAAGGCACCTGCAGAGGAGAAGGTGAAAGAGAAGGTGAAGGACACAGACGATTTCGGCCTGCCATCGCCCATGGAGAAGGGACGCAGCTGGGCTGACGAGGTCGGCTCGTAGGAAGAGCAGGAAGAAGCGCAAAGCTGGGTGACTCGATTACAGGAGCGCCATCGGAGACAGCATGTCGAAAGCCTGTGGCTGAAGCGTCCGATCGGATCCACTCACAAGCGGACAGGCCCGCATCCCGCCTTTATGTCTGATGCGGAATTCGCGGCTCTACCAGACTGGAAGGATGTGCAGTACAACAGAGCCTACAACACCGCCTATCGCCCGTCGCCTCTCAGCTCGATGTCGCCTCTCGGCTCGATTACTGATTAGCTGTCAGCAACGCGTGCAGCAACGTCTCCGCCTGGCTTCGCGCCAACCCCACACTTCGTAGCATCCTTAGACAATTCATCGCAAGTCGAAAGTGGTCCAGCAACTGTCGTCGAAGCTTTATCGTCGTCAGCCACCCCGCATACACCGGGAGCATGTGTCAACCCATCGCATCCGCAAGGAGCATATGTCAGCCCATCGCAATTGAACAGTGGTCAAACAACGCTCGTTGAACATTCCCCAGCGGCTCCAGTTGTTCCCCCCGTGGTTTCACGACTCAGGTCAACACTGCAACAGCTTCGCCTTCTATCTTCAGCGTCGGCTGTAATATTGAGGGACCAGCGGAGATACGCTGAAGTTATTAAAGTCGAAGGCCCGACAAGCCAGTCAGGCTCCATCGTTTACGACATCTGCAGCGATTCCGAGAGCGAGTCCGACGACCTTCACTTTGGAGATGGCCTTCCCCCACGAAACCCTACGCTGTCTACCATAGCGAGAACCCGAGACGGTCAAAGTCGCGCATGGATAGTCACACCAGGACGCCCACCGACATCAGCAACTGCACGGGCGTATTTCAGCCATAGAGGCATCGCTCCTCAATACTCTCACTACGTTCAAACAGAGCCCTCTCGAGACGACATGATATTCATGCGTGGTGGAGCTGACTCAGAAGATCAGCTAGGCGCCCACAATGGCTCATCCCATACACTTCTCGATCCGAATGATCGACCCAGGAGCCTACATGAGTCCTCAGCCTCATCGCTCGCACCTCCAGACCGCACTGAAGGCCGCAAGTCTGGTGATTCGAGGTTCACCGAGCTCATGAACGAGGATGGTAGTCGTCTGTACGCAGAAAGTTTGCGTCGTTCTGGGAGTCAAGAGTCAAGGGAAACTGAGGAAGTACCTTTACCTTCACCTTCGCTAGCGCCAACCGCACCACCAACCCCTTCGAATCGCACAGCACAGCCTGTTCCTGCGGCGCACCAGATCACGAGTTTACCTCCATTGGCGTCTCAGCGCCCGGCTAATCTGGCGGTTCCGAACGTACCGGCGCGTGCTCGTGATCCGAACAAGAAGAGATGGTATGTTGTTTGTGACCCTGAGGGCTGTTGTTATCTGTGTGATGTGGATACTGTGTGTAGCTGTTCCGAGGCTCTCGTTACTACTTGCTTGGGGTTCTGCCCTATGCAGTGATGGAATGTGGGGGTTTGGTAGTGGATAATATATGAGTTTGGCGGCTACGTTGCTGTATTTTGTGTGAATGTGGAGAGGTTGATGTGCTTGTAGGTATTAGGGTGTAGTGTGGATGTGTGGGTAGGATGTAAGCCAGGCGGTGACGTTGTTGCGTTTGGTGGGTATGTCGAGGGGATTGATGCAGATGTATCCCCCTCGCCATACCTTACCGGATACATCTACACATAAGCAAGACGACGACGTTACAGTGTTTAGTATCCATACGAAGCGGAATCGTACAACATCTCCGCCACAGTATACCTTACTAGATATACTCATACATGACCTCCACATCGACATTGCAGTATTTGGTACACATACTGTATGAGCCCACACAACGTATCCGCCACACCCCAACTCACCAGCCATACACATCCACTCGCCTGACAGCGACCTTGTCGCGTCTGATGCATAAAACACGCGAAATCATACAATGTATCCGCTACGCGTAACTTCACCTGCAGCTGTCCTAAGCAAGCTAGACGGTAACATCGTGGTGTTATGGATGTATATGACGGTGGTATCGCACATGTATCCGTCCGGCTATAGCGTGACTGCCCAGGTAGAGGTATAGCTAGGCATGTACATGGGAATGAGATGGAAGCCAGACAGATGGCGAAATTGTAGCGTTTTGCCTCGTGTTTGAGATTGAGAATTGCACGCGTATTTCCTAGGTTGTAGGATATCTGGCACTGCGAAATAGACTTGATGTTTGTTGTCGTTAACTACAATTGTATTCATATTCATCTAACCTTCCTCTCCATGGACCTAAAGAAGATATGAGCTAGACGCCGATAGTTGCAGCGTTTACCTTACATTCTATTCGGGATCGCACGACGTAGCTACTAGACCCTACTGTATAACCCGCGGTTAACGTTTAATACCAAAAAGAAAACTTAGCCTGTCTACCTCGAAGTATCTGGTAGCAATGCGTTTAACAAAAGGAATGAAACAGAGAGATAAACTTCGAAGCAGACACTATAATAGTAAGTAGAACACGTATGCTCGAACACTCCGATTAAGCTCTCATTAGGTCAGGGGTGGTGTAGGCAAACTAAAAAGCGCAGATTGGCATCCAATATTGAACGGGAACATTCGTGTCTTACATTTGCACATTTTGAATCAAACTAATCCCATAGACGTAATCATACCAGCCTACATTCAAGAGCCGGAAACAGGAGAGACAACTACATCCATCACTCCCTCCCTCCCTCTCAATCGCATCCCTCTCCTTCATTCCCTCTCCTTCATCCCCTCCCCCTCCCTCATCAG